TGGCTTGCTGGGCTGGGGATTTAGCTCAGTGGTTCCGATGCCTGCCTAGAAAGTGCAAGATCCTGAGTTCAATCCCCAGTATCAAAAAAAAAAAAAAAAAACAACCCACAAAAAACAAACAATAAAATAAAAAGTAAAAAGTGGCTTGTCACCTAAATGTTACCGAGTTTTAGATTGCTTGCCCCTCCTTCTGGAGTTGGATTCCAGGTTCTTCTTGCCTCCAACAAAGAATTGAACAAAATGAGCAAAAAACAGTGGCAAAGTTTATTCAACAAAGCAAAAATAAGGAGTGGAAAGCCAGGCATGGTGGGGCACGCCTGTAATCCCAGCACTTGGGAAGCTGAAACAGGAAGATCACTGAGTTCAAGGCCAGCCCGGCCCACATAGTGAGACCTTGTTTTAAAAAGAAAAAAAATGCAGGGCGGGGCTTTAGCTCAGTGGTGCCACCGCCTGCCTCACAAGCACAAGGTCCTGAGTTCGATCCCCGTACCAAAAAAAAGAAAAAAAAATGCGGAATGGGAAAGAAACTGGCTCTGCAGAGCAAGCTTGGACTGAGTAAATAGAAAAAGAGGGTGAGAGCAAAGATAAAAGTACAGATTGTGTCTGGGGAACACAGTGGGGATTATCATAGAAAGTTATGATAGCCAAGACTTCATGGCCTTGATGTGTCCTTTTATGCTGTCTAAATCTCAAGGAAACCAGGGAGAACCTTTACATAGGAGTCCTGAGAGACAGGGTGGAGATTCCATACCTCAGGCTGATGTCAAGTCTAGGCCATCCTATTGAAAAATCTGCTCGAATTCTCAAGAGAAATCCACATGTAGGACTTTGGGAACTGTTGTGCACATAGTTGCAGGATCTTATAATTAACAGGTCAGGCCTACTTCCCAACCAGTGTTTGCCACACCCTAATATCCTCTCTCACTGGTTCAGTCACACTAATGAGCTGTGTCACTCTTGGAAAATCATCTGTTAGTCTGGATCTCAGCTGTCTCATTTTAGGAATGAGAAGTTTACATTAGTTTATGCTCTTCTAGCTTCACAACGAAATGATGTATGACTAGTGATTTACTAACATATGCTTCCACATTTCAAAGAATTAGAATACACTTGCTGGGCGTGGTGGCGCATGTCTGTAATCCCAGCTACTTTGAAGGCTGAGGCAGGAGGTTTGCAAGTTTGAGGGCAACCTTGGCTGCATAGTAAGACCCTGAAAAAAAAATGTGTGCAATGCTTACCATGCAATATATAGTAGCTATAAAGAATTTACATACATTTATGTATCATCAAAGTTTGAAAAGTTCTTTTTACATGTTCTCCCACTCTTCGTTTTGGGGCAAATGTTATTACTCCTTTTGGGATAGATGTTATCATTCCTTTAGAAAACATTAATTGAAGCCCGGGCGTGGTGGCACACACCTGTAATCCCAGCATTCGGGAGGCTGAGGCAGGAGGATCATGGTAAATTCAAGGCCAGTCTGGGCTACATAGTGAGTTCAGGACCAGTTTGAACTACAAAGGGAGACCCTGACAAAAAAACCCATTAGTTGGGGGCATGAGGAACTCCTACCCCTTTTGCCCCCTCATACCCCCCAGCCTCCACTTCCTCCAACCCCTTCCCCCCAATGACCCTTGTAAATAGAATCAGCCCCCTCTATCTTTTCCTTTCCCTGGTCCCCAGGTGTAAATAGATTGTGATAATTTTTTTCTTAAAGAAAACGTTGATTCGCACCATCCAACCTGGCCCTGCCCACTCCTGCAGCTGTATCTCCACCTCTGTCCTCTGCTCCCAAGGGCTCCTCGCTCCTCTCCCAACCCTGGAGGGCCTGGGGGAATGGGGAGAACTCCTGATGTTCTAAGTTTCCACAATAAGGTTTGCCTGTGTACAGACCTCCATTCAATAAATTATTGGCATGAAAATCTGAAAAAAAAAAACCATTAATTGAGCCGGGCGTGGTGGCACATGCCTAGAGTCCCAGCACTTGGGAGAGAGGCTGAGGCAGGAGGATCATAGTGAGTTCGAAGCCAACCTGGGTTACATAGTGAGACCCTTTCTCAAAACAAAAAAAACATTAATTGAAGCCAGTGTACCCTAATGACTAAGAATGTAAGCTCTGGAACCCTACTGTTTGGGTTGAGGGTCACCATTCCTTGTTTGAGGGTCAAGAGTAATGGAGAGGGAACCCAGCTATACCTCTTCTTGGTATCTTCCCAAAAGAATTAAAAGCATCATACCACAGTGATATATACACACTCGTGTTTATAGCAGCAGAGTATAATAGCTAAATCTTGGAAACAGCCCAAATGCCCATCAACTGACAAGTGGATAAAGAATATGTGGTTTTTTTAATACAATGGAGTACTAGTCTGCCATAAAGAAGGATGAGCTTCAGACATTTCTAGGTAAATGCACCTTAAGACCATACTCTTAAGTGAGATAAATCAGACACTCATGGGTTTTTTGTTTTGTTTTTTGGGTTTTGTGGGGGTTTTTTGGTACCAAGCATCAAACCCAGGACTTTGCATTTGCTAGGCAGGCACAGAGCCACTGAGCTAAATCCCTGGCCTGGTTTTTTGTTTTTGTTTTGTTTTTTAATTTGAAAAGATTTATTTTTCCCCCCCTCAGGGAGAACAGGAAGTTAGGGAATTTACAGCTCATTAATTTGTAGTTGGTCCTAATCTTTCCTGGCACAGCTGTCAAAAACAGTATTTAAGGCTGGGGATTCAGCTCAGTGGTTCCAGCGCCTGCCTCCCAAGCACAAGGTCCGAGTTCGATCCCTGGTACCAAAAAAAATCCCCAAAAAACAGCATTTAAGCAGAACCAAGGGGACACACGTTTGTTTGGTTTGTTTTTTTTTTTTGGTACCAGGGAGGCAGGCACCGGAACTACTGAGCTACATCCCTGGCCCCAAACATGTTTAAATATCTCATTGTTTCTCTGGTATGAGAAATCAAAAGTAGAAATAAACACTAAAATGTGTAATAGATATTGGGAAATGGGAAATGGGAAGAAAATGTTCAAATGGGAAGGGGAACAAGGGGAAAGGGAGGGAGAAAGGAAGGAAGGGACAAGAAAAAAAGTGAAAATATAAAAATAGAAACAAAGCTTTTGTACATAGGGAGCATGAGGGGGCTTGAGAGGAGGGGAAAATGGGGAAAAAAGAGGTGAGATGTATCATGTACAGGTGCAAATTCCCTATGATTAGTGTTATCATTATGTATGCCTAAAATGTACCAATAAATGTTTTGCTATAAAAAATTTAAAATCAATACTTATTATTAATAAAATTTTATTCAATTAGTGTTTTAAAAAATTTGGGGAGTTAGGGAAACTGCTGGATGACACACCATTGAACCATACTTACAGAACAGGTAAGATTTAGACAGGTGCTGATGGATAGAGTGCATTTCAGGCAGAGGAAACAGCAAAATCACAGAATTTGAGAAGCAGAAAGCACATTCAAGGAACAACAAATAGTTTGGTTTTGTTAGAATGTAGGGTATGTGAGACAGGTGTGGTGGTGCAAGGCTGTAATCCCAGCACTTGAGGGGCTGAGGCGGGAGGATCACTGTGAGTTCGAGGCCAGCCTGAGCTACATAATCCTGACCCTCTCCCCACCCCCCAAAAAAGAATGTAGGGTATGTGAAAAGCAGTGAAAAATATAAGTGGTATAAATGGAAAGATTGGCTGAGTTGCAACACTATTAAAATCATTTCAAATATATCTTTTTCAGGATTCTATCCGTGCAGTCTTGGAAAACTTGGACAATCTGCAGCCATTTGTTACTGAACACTTCATTGTATTTCCCTGTATCCTTTCTTTCTAGGTATTGAGCTATAACTCACATTGTAGATTCAGGGCCAGGGATTTAGTTCAGTGGTTCCACTGCCTGCCTCATAAGCACAAAGTCCTGAGTTCGATCCCCAGTACCAAAAAACAAAAAAACCCCAAAACATTGTAGATTCAAATGGAAGGAGCAAGGCCAGGGATTTAGCTCAGTGGTTCTGTCGCCTGCCTCGAAAGCACAAGGGCCTGAGCTTGATTCTGGTACCAAACAAATGGAAGGAGCAAAACTGTAGACAATAGTGTAGCATGGTGACCATGCCTATAATCCCAGCTACTCAGGAGGCTGAGACAGTAGGATCACAAGTTTGAGCTCAGCCTAGGAATTTAATGAGATCCTGTCTCAAAATAAAATAAGGGCTGGGAGTGTAGCTCAGTGGTAGAGCCCTTATCTAACAGACCTAAGTCCTGGATTGAATTCTGTGCCTGGGGAAAAAAACAAAAAACACAACAGTTTGGAGAGTAGGTTAGGGGAAGGAGCACAGTCTTACTCCTAAAACAGTTCTCAGGGTGGCATATTGGTATTCTTCCTCAATCCTTAGCACCATTCCCCAGACAAAAGCAAATGGGAGAGAGTTTCCCATTTAAAATTCAAACATGAGGATGTTGTCTTGATCCCTTATCCATTTGTTTTTACTTTATATGTGGAGATGAAATGGTTTCATGAAAACTTGTCACCTGGTAAGTAGAGATGGGAGCAAGGCTGGTGGAAGACAGAATAGGTTACTGGGATGGCAGTGAAATAGTCTTCCAGATTAACTGGGCTTCATCCACACCATGTGGAGATCAAGAGCACATGGTCCCAGCCTGGTTTAAATCCCCAAGGCTCTGCCACTTAGTAGCTGCATAACCTTACATAAATTACAGCACTTATCATCTTTCTGTGCCTCCTTTGTGAAACACAGGGTGTGACCAAAAAATACACCAAAGATGTAAATTTTAAAATATTATGGTAAAAGATAGGTTGCCATCAATCTCAAAATACTCCTCTTAACTCTGAACACACATATTCCACTATTCTTACCACTTTCTGAAGCAGTTGTGAAGTTCTGTGTCTTTTTTTTTGAGACAAGATCTCACTATGTAGTTCAGGATGGCCTTAAACTCACTATGTGGCCCAAGCTGACCTCAAAATCACTGCAATCCCCCTGCCTCAGTCTCATAGAGTGCTGGGATTATAGGCATGCAACACGCCTGTCTAAAAAATAACTCTTACATAAACACTTCCTTCATTTTAGAGTACTTAGTCACTTTCACTGTAGTGGTTTCTTAACGGTATCTCTCAGTTTTTAATCTCTGGCAACCTGGCTGTTTTTAACTCACCGAAGGACAAGTAGGCACCCACCAGTATGACTTGAAAAAGAGTACAAAAGCCTTGCATCAAAAATCTAATTCATTCTTGATTCGGCATTATTGATGCCTGAAATCCGGCTGTTTTTCTTTGTACTAAGGCTCATCCCTTTTTAAGTGGTATATTGTTAGAGAAGTATGATGTGAAGCAAACATGTTTCAGCTTGTAATGACAAGGAGGAAATGAGAGTTAGAAGACACTGTGTCTAGGGAAAGTGGCACCAGGCAGAAGGGAGAAAGGCACATTGTGATGGGAGTATCTAGAACCAATTCTGGGAAATAGAGTACCCAGAAGTTCAGCTAAAACAGAATCTTGATCCATTATAACACTCAAATTTCCTCTTGTAGGGAGACCAATAAATGACAGTCCTCTTGGATTGGTAAGCTTGCCTTTTCTGAACAAAATGAAAATCACCTTTGTTACCTCCTGTTGTCCCCAAAGTGCTGCCCTTGTGTCTCACTCTGACCTGGCCCCTCAGTTGCTGTCCAGATCCCATCTGCATCACAAGCAGGAGCCCATGTGTTTCCCCTTGGCTAGATTTCAGAGACCATGACTCTAACAGAACTTCTGTCCTTGCTGCAAAACTGACGTTAAAAGTTGCCTGTGGTAGGTTAATGATGGGGCCTTCTCTTTTCTGTGCTCACTTGAACTGTGAGCCACTCTGAAAAAGGAGGGTTCACAAGAGTCTGGTTCTTCCCTGAAGGTTGTAGTTGAGAAGAAAGCAGCAGGAGCTTCGAAGAAACAAAAACGAAAACTCGTGGAACAGCACAGCTCCCCCGGTGGGGCAAGACAGCCCAGGTCAGTGGTGTAGGGAGGGGCTGAGTCCTGCATCCTAGTCACGCTTTCTTTGCCTTCTGTTGGACTGGCTGACTCTACACTTGAATGGATCACTTGCTTTTTCTGGGCATTATCAGTAGTATCTGCCTATTCTGGGAACTGGACTATTTGGCAACTGGGATGCAGTTTGAATATAGTTTCTTTCTCAGCAAAGTGAGATTGTTCTGTTCATCAAGATGAGTTGAAGGCTGAGAGGAAGTATAAACAGATGTGTACAAGTGAATTCAACTCAGTGAATCCTTACTATGACAGTATTATAGAAGACACAAAACATAGTCTCCAAATGTTATACAAAAACAGAAGGAAAATCTTGAAAGGATAAGAACAAATAAAATATTCTATTTTACCTAGTGAGCAGTAAGCTTTTGGAACCTTAAGAGCAGTCCAGGGTGAAGTATAAATGCTTTCAAGACAGTGTGTATTGATTATTAGGTGAAGTACCAATTGTTGGGAATGTCCAGCACATCGATTTAGTAAGAGGAATGTTATGCACATTGATTATTAGGGGGAATGCCGAACACACTGATTATGTTTGTTTGTTTGTGAGACAGGGTCTTGCCATGTAGTTCAGGCTGGCCTTGAACTCACTATGAAGCCCAGGTTGGCCTCTAACTCATGGCAATCCTCTTGCCTCAGCCTCCCGAGTGCTGGGATTTCAGGTGTGCACAAGACCTCACTGAACACAATGATTATTACAATGTTGAACACATCAATCATTAGAAAGAATGTTGAATACATCAACTGCTGGGGAAATGTTGATCACATCCCCAGAATGTTATGGTTGCTATTGTAGAGGCTACTTAGACTCTTTTTGGGTTTTTTGAGAGAGAGTCTCACTATGTAGTCCAGGCTGGCCTTGAACTCACAGCGATCCCTCCTGCCTCAGCCTCCCAAGTGCTAGGATTACAGGTGTGTGCCATGAAGTCCGGCTACTCGGGCTCTTTTGATTCTCTGTCAAGGACAAAATGAATCAGTAAGACCATTCAGTTTGTAGCATCCCAGAGAGGCCTGCTCAGTAATCTGAGGTGAGTTCTGCTATCCAGCTCAAGGTGCTTTCAGCCCAGGTTCACAGAGGATAGCTCCTCTTTTCCTGGGACCTTATAGGCCCCTAGATGCTCAGGGGCAGTGAGACTGGACCCTGTGCCTTCCAGACGTGCATGTCGGTGAAGAGTTAGGTGCTCCTTTCCACGCTGGGTGCAATGTGTGGTAGTTGGAAATATGAAGCTTTGGTCTGTTCCATTCAACTGAATCTTCCACGGAGATAAAGTCTCAGATCTTCCCTTTCTGAGTTTTGTGCACAATACAGTATTTTAAAATTGGAGGGCTGGGGATTTGGCTCAGTGGTTCTGCTGCCTGCCTCAAAAGCTTAAGGTCCCGAATTCGATCCCCAGTACCAAAAAAGAAAAGAATTGGATACCAGCTATCAGTCATATTTTCCATTTCTCAAATCCCATATCCTTAAGTGTCTCAAATTAGGATTCTATTGTGAATTAAAGCACTATCTAATGAAAATTTGGCCACATGATTTTTTTCTGCCAGCCAGGAGTGGTATAAAAATAACCAACTTGCTGAAATATTCATCTGGGCCCCATTTGTTGGAATGTCATAATGTTGCCACTGCCAGTAACATTTAAGGACTTCTTCCCTCACCCCAGGGACAAGATGAGGTCTTCCAGCCAAAGACCTAGCACGAAGAAGCCGCCTATGGGAACCAGAAGGGTAAGCACCAGAACAAGGCTCTGAGTGAGGCTTTTGGCTGGGCTTGTTCTGTTGCACGTCAAGATTCCTGTTACCTGAGCATCCTGGTCCTTACCACAGGCTGAACTGACTGAACTCATTCTCAGGTTTCGCTGTCTGCAGAGCAATGTTCAACTGTTCCACCCCTGCTGCAACTTGTCCCAAAAGTGGCTGCATAATACACACATGGATGAATCCTTTTGTCAAAAGTTCTTTCTTCTTTACTCAGCTTTTAAAAAGCTGCTTCTTATACTCTGCAGTTGAAGTAAAAGGAAAAAAATAGGTCTGTACTGAATAGAAGTAAAACAGTATAGAACTTCCTCTGCAGAAAAATTTAGCTTTATCTACACTGGGGTCTAAGTCTAGGAACATCTAATTTTAACATGAGCTAGGTACATGTTAGCACTAGAAATCTGTAAGAAAAAACTTCTAGAGCAATGATGGGTTGGTCCCTGCTTATTTGATTTTGTTTGATTTATGGAGTCTATATTCTTTATTTAGATATTCATGCACCTTGTTTTGTTTTTTATGAGACAGGGTCTTGAGCCCCGCTAGGGCCAGGGATGTAGTTCAGTGGCACCACTCCTGCCTGCCAAGCACAAGGCCCAGATTTTGATTCCTGGTACAGAAAAAAAAAAGGAGGTAGCCCTGCTGGCCTCAAACTCGCAGATGATCCTGTGATCCTCCTGCCTCAGTCTCCTGAGTATACCAGCATACCCAGCTTCATATATCTACTACTTCTCCATTTCAAGGGTTATTTTTCATAGCAGACTCTAAGGCAATGCCCTTTTTAATTTCCTCCTCTCTTTACGTAACAGTTAGCTATTATACATGCCTTATAGATCCTTCATTTTTTTCTCACTTCTTTATGTCTCCAAACTAGCTCTGCTCTTAACTACCCAAACACTAACACCTCACCTTCACCTTCTCAGGACCCATAACACATGATTGATTGCATGCATTCAGCCCATTTCCACTATGTGCCAACCACCGGGCATATCATGCTCTGCCGTAAAAACACCAGTAGTGTTAGACCAGGCAGACAGCTACCAATAAATACACTATGTGTGGCTAGAAGGAAGCACAGGATAGAGAGGGGACACAGGGAGGCCATGAGGGAAAGGTTCCCAGAGGAGCTCAGAGGAGCTAAAAGAGCTCAGGACAAGCAGCTTAGAACCCAGCACTGAGAAACATTGCTGGAGACAACAGTGTGGGCTGAATCATAAAATGCTTTGAGGCCACCATCAAGATTTAGCTGGATGGGCCAGGGATTTAGCTCAGTGGTTCTGGTGCCTACCTCGAAAGCGCAAGGACCCGAGTTCGATTCCCGGTACCAAAAAAAAAAAAAAAAGATTTAGCTGGATCTGGGCTGGGAATTTAGCTCAGTGGTTCTGCCTCCTGCCTCACAAGTGCAAGGTCCCAAGCTTGATCCCTGGTACCAAAAAAAACGAAAGAAAAGATTTAGCTGGACCTGGTGGTACATGCCTTTGATTCCAGCACTCTGAGTGGCTGAGGCAAGAGAATTGCAAGTTTGAGCCTAGCCTGGGCAACTTAGCAACTCAGAAAGATCCTGTCTCAAAATAAAAATTTTTTGAAGAGATAGGGTTGTATGTAGCTCAGTGTGAAAGCTCTGAGTTCAATCTCTAATACTGAAAGAAAAATTATGTGAATTTCCTAAAAATTTGTTTTGTACAGGGATCGAACTCAGGACCTTGCGCTTACAAGGCAGGTGCAGCACCACTGAGCTAAATCCCTGGTCCTTTCCTAAAATATTTTAAGGAAAGGAACGGAGTGATTTTCATTTCTAAGCCATTCTTCTATCTCCTGTTTGCAAGGCATTTTGTTGAGTGCTAGGGTACACACAAGCACGTGGCAGACTTGGCTTCTTTTCTCTGGGAGGAGTGGGCACCTTTGGGGATCTCGACCTGTGCCCTTGGGGAGGGGCAGAGGACAGGGCTGCAGATGGGCATGGCTAAGCAGCTCACTGAGTGATTTTAGGCAGAGAGTTGCCCCTTCTATGCCTCCTGTGGTTTAGAAAGGTAAAAAGAAAGAATAAGAAAGTACAAGAGTACACGATGCTCTGGAGAACAAAGATGCTTTATACACCAAGATAATTGCTGTTAGAGGAACATTTCCTCCCTCTCTACCCTTCATACCTTCCTATTCTTAGTTTGACACATCATCTCCCTCAAAAACAGTACCCACAGCTTCTTACTGAACATAATTATCTTTTCAACCTGATTCTGGGTTTAGGAGGAAAAAAAAGTAAAGGAACATGTTTATTGATTTTGACTCTAAGCCCAAAGATAGCCTCTGTTGTAGACTCTGTTCCCAGGGAGAGGATTTTTCCTAAATTAAAGTGATCACAGTGACTCTCGGTGTAAGTCCTTTTAGTTGGAAAAATTGAATTTGCTCCTATGGTCCAGTGCTTGATATTTTCCCCTGCTGATTCCCCTGTCAGCATATCAGATCACAGCTAGTGTGGATTGTTCATGTCTGCACACACAGACACATGCATGGAGAAAGCTTAGAAGAGAACAATATTGAGCTCATAACCTCTGTGCCTTGGGGAAAATAAGGAAGGGAAGACCTTTTCCTTTTGTTCCTTTAGGTCTCAAACCTAGAGACTCAGACTTTGGTAGGATAAAAAGTGGAGGATTTTGGGGTAAAGTACAGACCAATGGCTCAGAGAAGTGACACAGACTGACTACTCAAAGGTGGTTTCTCCGCCTCTGCTTGAACTACTTCTACATAGATCCAGGCCTGAATATACAGAGATTTTAAGGATATAAAGCCCTGCTTTATGTCCCCAATGGTACTCTCAATCTTCATTCAGACCTTTTCTTGAAACCTTTTCCTTTTTATTTTTTTGAGACAGCATCTTGCTGTGTAGTTCAGGCTGGACCTGAACTCACTATGTAGCTCAGGCTGGCCTCAAACTCAGAGATCCTCCTGTCTCAGCTTCCCAAGGGCAGGCATTAAAGCATGTGCCACCACACCCGGCTCTCTTGAAACTCTTGCCTGAGAAGACCTTCCTCAAGATTTCCGGAGCTGGGCATAATGGTGTACACCTAGTAATCCTAGCTATTCAGGAGGCTGAGGCAAGAGAATTGCAAGTTCGAACCTACCCTGGGCAATTTAGGGGACCTTCCTTCAAAATAAAAGATGAAAATGGGATGGGGATATAGCTCAGTGGTAGAATACCCCTGAGTTCCGCCCCCCCCCTCAAAAAAATCAAGAAAGCACAGAATCGATATATCTTGTGAAAGTAGACTCCTGGGGTCCCAGGGTAGGCTATACCTCTACCCTAAGGCATTGGCTCCTGGGGCCTCTACCAGTCCTAATAGATGCCACTTTACTGGTCATCCTGTGTAGCAGGATTTAAGCCCAAAAGCACAGTTTAATTAAAGTTGTAAAAACCATCCCCTCAAGCCAGAAACCAGAGCTGGGCCCTCTAAATCTAGTCTCTGCTCTGTGTAGAAAAGCTAAGAATGGTCTCTTTCTTCCCCAGGGTACTCTTTGACTTTTTTAGGAATATGACTTAGGGACCACCTCTGTGGTCTGGAATCTGACAGGTTCGTGAAAAAGCTTACCTCAGAAAGACCTGCTGTTCTAACCCGAAGCTTATACTTGGGATGAGGTCCGGTTCTCACTTTCCTAAGAGCCCGCCACCTGTCTGCCTCCTGTAGCCCACTCCACTACAGGCTTCTCCACTGGCAGCACAGCTGGGCAGCCAGGCCCTCGGGCTCTGCTGGGTGTGGACAGTGGCCAGCTGGCAGAGAGTCCCAGAGCAAATAGATGTGCCATGTTTCTGACGACAAGGGTGTTTACAGGGAATTGTTGAGGGCCTTGAACCAGGCTGTAGGATGTCCTCTTCAAAGTACAAAGGGGTTTGTAACAAGCAGTAGCATGTGGAGAAATATTAAGATTGCATTGTATTGTGCTGGCTTCTAATGCCATAGTAATGTTCCTGCCGTACCCAGCTCTGGCCATGCTGATCATATTTACTCTTTAATGGCATTGTGCCCTTTCTGTCATGTCCCTATCTAGAATACCCTGCTCTCACTGACCAGGTCCTCATTCTGCATTATGGCAAAATCCCACTCATCTATCAAGGCCCCATCTTCATGTCATTTCCTCTGTGAAGTCTTCCTTGACCATAGCCACCCATTCTGCTAATGTCCTCCTCAGCAACCATAGCAGTCTGTAGAAACTGGTGGGGTAGCTTTATCACACTGTGTTGTAGTATGCAGTTTACTCTGTAGATCATATATTCTCCAATGTACCATGAAGATCCTCCTGGTTTCTGAAATTTCTGTATTGTTTCACCCAGCAATAGCAGGCACTGAGTAATAGGGGATGGTGAGATAAATCCAGATTGGCTTGTTCTCACCTCTTAAATCATCTGGCCTTAGAGGGACCAGGTTAGAAGCTGAAACGAAAAAGGACAATCCTAAAGAAAGAAATATAGGGCCTGCCTGGGCAGTCAGAAGCCAGGCCACAGTGCTGATGTGAGAACATTTGTCAGAAAATAGCATACAGGCTGGGTCAGAGTAAGTTTAAGACTTTTCTTGATCTTTTTATCAGAACAGAGAAAGAAAACCCCAGCAAGAGAGACAGAAGACTGTAGCCTCTGACACCACTGATGTCCAGGAACAGCGTAGGTTGTGGGAAATTCATGTTTATTCTTCTTTAATAATCGTCCTGCCCCTTTTATTGTGCTATGCTGAGCAGAGGTGCTGAGCAGAGTGACCCAGAGCACTGAATCCGGGCACACTGGAGATGTGGGGGGCTTCACTCCCATGGAAGCACCGCTGGCCTCCTCCAGCCTGGGAGTAGGATCTCCCCCACCTCCATCTCCCAAAAGGAGCAAAGGTGGACACTACATGCCCTTCCCCTTTCTGCTCCTGATAGTGCAACTGATGCTCCTGCAGTTCCAAATCTTCTATGTAAGGTGGAAATTGTCATAGAAGAGTTGGAAGGGATAGGTTTCCCTTCTCTGTGCAGTGGGAGAATCATCTCTGGGAAGCTCTCCTTTTCCCCTTGGGGCTTAGTGTGACTACTGTGGATGCTCTACCAAGCCTGGGAATGCATGGCAAGGTGTTGCTCTTCCAACTTGCTGATATTTTTACCCAGCATGGGATTCAGTGTGGACTGCAGCTATCCCAAAAGCAGGGATGTAAGCACGTGAGTTCTTTGACAAGTAGTCATTCCATGTGAAAGCATACCAGCTGTGGTGGAGGGCTGGGACTTAAGCTGTGTAAATATCTCAGGAATCTGATTTTGAAAATACTCCAAGGTCAGAATAACATCATATTGAGCTGAGATGAAATTGGAAAGGTCAGAGCAAACAATTCACCTGGCTTTAAATAAATCTTGGTGTGAGGCTGCTCTGCCATCTCCTACTCACATGAAAGTACTCTGCTGACCAATACCTTTTTCCTGCCTGAGTATTTCCCTTACAGATTCTAAATGGGGACACAACCTGCCAGGGGCAATTGTTCCACCGTTGCAGCAGAACAACTCGCCTCCACCTAAAGAGCTGGGAATCCGTAGCTTCTTTGGGTTTCTAAGGTAAGACAAGCTTCCCTCCTGCCATCACTGAGCCCGAGAGCCAGAGCAGGAGTGGCGTCCAGAGCTTGCCCCCCTGCATCTTTCAGGGAAATGAGAATAGAGAAGAAGGCTGATCACTTGCAGATATTTCTCAATTATGTCCAATATAGATGATAAAAATAAGATTAAGAACAAGGGCTCTAGTTGTGAATTTAATAAAGAATGTATCTTATTCTTTGTGATAGGGTCTCACTGTGTAGTCCAGGCTAGTTTTGAACTCTCTGGGTAGTCCCGGCTGGTCTCAGCCTTGCAATCCTCCTGCCTCGGTCTCTTGAGTGCTGGGATTACAGGTGTGCCCCACCACACCTGGCTCTTACTCACTTTTGCACATCTCACCCCCACCCTAATATGCCCAGTTTAAGGCCTAGTTCCATACACATTGCTTGAACAGAGACTATTCCTATTTTACTTGGGTCATTCAGATTATTTGGTTATCAAATCATTTCCATTCTCCCCTGTGAATCTAGGTTGTGTCTTCAGAGTCCTTTCTGCAGAGGAGTTAGCAAATCCCTCTATCTAGAACTCAGCCATACCACTCCAGTTCTTCTTCCTTTATTTCCTTCTCCTGAGTGTAATGTAATTTGGGTACCTTCTCAAATGTTGTTCCAGACTTGAATTTCCATTCAGTGGCTCCTCAGAGCCAAATGGCCTGGCTAATGATGCACTAATAGGAAGCAGGCAGTGGGGAAGGAGACCTCCGGTCTCAGCCTACTCTGCTCTCATTCCTGCAGCACTGTCTTTTCCCTTCGGTATTTCTTCAAGAAGAGCAGCCAGTGAGCCTCCCAGATGCAGTGACAGCCACGGAAAGAGGGTCTTCCCTTGCAGCGACTCCTCCCTGACCACCACTCCTCCAGCTCCATCCTTTTCTTATGACACTTCAGTCATGGGGATGATGGCTCCTGATTAGTCCTCTTGTGGGTTTGTCCTGTCCTTTGTACCTTTATAACTGAGTGGGTTTTCCCCCTATTAAAACACTGGAAAAAGAATGGAACTTTCTAAAATGCTCTGGTCTAAGAATGTTACTACCCTGAGGGCCAGTTTGGGTCTTCTGTCTCCAGCACTTAGGATCCTAATGCCAATAAATTAATTATTCATGAAGAATTATTGATTAAATTTAGTGAAACAGATTGAGAGAGAACAAACTCTTCCCTCAAGATACAAAGAAGCAATGTGCGACACTCCCTGACACCTAGTTGCTAGTTACAGGGTCACACTGGGCAGCTGAGTCTGTACCTGACCTCGAACCTTAAACTTTGCTGCCAGGGTCCAGGGAATGAGGTTATGCAAGACTCACTACCCTGAGCCCTGCTGCCACCAAAGAAATGATCTTTGTCCCAACCCAGCTTGGTTTGACCCCAGAGTGTAGCTTCTCCATAGAGAACATGGTTCCAACCTATTTCTCCTTCTGATTCCTTGAGAGTAACACAAGTTAGTCAGAGTCTCGGGAAGCTGGTGTGACTTCAGAGAACCAAAAGAATCAATGGAAATTTAGGGGAACTCATTTTAGTTCAGGACAAAGGAATCACCTTTAACTGTTAGAGATATCCAGTATTAGAATGGGCTACGCTGTGAGGTAATGAATCCTTGTCCAAAGGTTTACATCCAGTCACCTGTCACATACCAGAGGGAATATAGTGAGTGGGAGCTTGGGGTTGGATTGCTGAGGTCCCTTTGAGTCCCTTTGCTTGGCAAGGAGAAGAGAAGAGGTGGATGGTAGGAGGAGCTGTTGAGGGAGGACCAGGACCTGAGCTGGGGAGGCACCAGAGGGGAAGCCTTAGGGTGTGGGGATTTGAGACTAGCAACATCAGGAACAATTCCTCTCAAATCCTGTTTACTGCCAGTGCCCTGCTACCCCAAGCATGGTCTGCTTGCCAAAGTTGCTGAAGGGCACAACTCTGGAATCTTAAGAGCTGAGTACCCATCCTGACTGGGGCTCGCTTACAGTGAAGCCTTGGGAAGTTGCTTTCCTCTCGGGTTATTTTCTGAGTTGGAAAACAAGGGGGCAGGATTTGGTGTGCTTCAATGTCTGTAGGGAGCCAGCTAGCTCTGGCACAGGGAGCAGGTCATGAGGCAACAGCCCTGAGTGGGCTGCCCAGAACTACACAGGGCTTCCTTCTGATCTCTACCCTGCCCTAATCTCTAGCTACTACCAGCTATGGTTTCCCCCCAACTTGCCACATTCTTGCCCTAAGAATGATTTAGCACCATGGCTGGACTGAAGATTTGAATGTTATGTCAGCCCAAACATTGACTAGATGTCTTTTATTCTATTCTATTTTATTTTTTTTGAGACAGGGTCTCTCCAGGTAGTCCAGGCTGGCCTTGAACCTGTGGTGATCCTCCTGCCTCAGCCTCCAGACTGCTGGGATGAGTGCTGGGATTACAGGCATAAGCTACCACACCCAGCCCTGTGTAACTTAGTATCCTTCCTTCTCTGAGCCTCAGTAGCCTCACCTGTAAAACCAAAGCTGCACCAAACAACCAGCTTCTCTGAAGTTGACAGTTTCAGGCTCTTTAAGGAGCAGATCCCTGTTATTCCAGGGGTTAGAAGGACCCTGTACCTCAGACCTCCATTGTGTAGCTGCCCAGGGCAAGAGAAGACGTCCATTGGGCATTCGACAGGAGGCTCAGACATAACTCATCCCTCCAGACCTCCTGGCTTTGCAGCACCCACCTGTGTGATTTCTCTTGTCCATAAAAATCTGGTTTCTCAACCCCTTTCCTCTGTAGTCAGTAAGAGACAGGCAGGCTAAGTTTAGTAGTTCTAAGGCTGGGGGTGGCAAGGACCTGAACACGGAAGTCATGCCCAAGGTCATACAGCAGAGAAACCAGGTGGCCAAGAGACTTGACCCCTTTCCCCAGCAGCACAAAAACCATATGCTCCACCATCCCCTGGGCATTTCTCCACATCTTTGCTTCCCCCAGCCTGGGACCACTGGCAGCTTTTTCACAATGTTTTTTGGCTTTTTGAGGGTTTTTTTGGTATCAGGGATCAAACTCGGGGCCTTACGCTTTCGAAGCAGGTGGCAGAACCACTGAGCCAAATCCCTGGCCCCAAATGATGGTTTGGTTTTGGGGGGTTTTTTGTTGTTGTTTTCTTTTTGGTACCAGGGATCGAACTTGGGACCTTGTGCTTTCGAGGAAGGCGCCAGAACCACTGAGCTAAATTCCTGGCCCTTGACAGCTTTTTAGACAGAGGGAAGAAGGTAGCAGAGCCCTCTCTCTGAGGACCTTGTATTGGAACAGGATCTCCCAAGTTGAGCTGCTCTGAAGCCTCGGGCTCAGAGCCAGCCTGGGAAAGCCAATCTCTCAGAGGGCGTGGCTCCAAAATACCCACTAATAAAAGCCTGGAGAGCTGCAGCCTGAAATCTGGAGGCCAGCAGGAGGCACTGGGAGCCTGCCAGCCTCTCTGGTTGCTGGCTGGCGGACTGGTAAGTTCCCTGAGGCCTGAGGAGCGGAGGGCAGGCAGTGTGAGGATTCTGCAGGCCCAAACAGGTAGGGGGAGGACAATGTCAGTGGTCCAGATGGTGAGGGAGGTTCCAGGAGAAAATCACTGGGCAGAGGCCTGACACACAAGTCCCATCCCGAAGGGACTACTCACCACCCATCCAGTGACCCAGGCAGACACACTTCAGTCTGAGGCAGACAGCGAGGATACAGCCCCACTCTGGCTGGCCTTCCTTGTCACAAATACCAAGCAGCCCTGTTTGCTTACTCACCTGGAGGCCCTCAGAACTTGCCCAACTCCCTTCCCACCCACTGTTTCAGATGCCCATGGCATCCCCTGCAGCCCTGCTCCTCTGCATGCTGGTCCTGGCAGTCACTGAAGGCGGGGGCCAGGAGGCAGCCACCCCAGGCTGCCATTTGCATTGTGAGTAACTCAGGGACCAGAGGGTCAGGAGGAATGGGAGGGGGCAGAGTTGACAGATCCACACAGAAGCAGGCAGAGCTGTTGGCAGCCTTTGCAGAGGAGCATCTCCGCTTGCCTATTTCTTTCCAGCTTTCAATGTGACAGTGCGAAGTGACCCCCAAGGCACCTGCCAGGGCTCCCATGTGGCACAGGCCTGCGTGGGCCACTGTGAGTCCAGTGCATTCCCCTCTCGGTACTCTGTACTGGTGGCCAGCAGCTATCGGCACAACATCACCTCTGTCTCTCAGTGCTGCACCATCCGTGGTCTGAAGAAGGTGAGGGGCACCTGAGCCCAACAAGGGCACTGGCTTGGGGGAGACAGAGAGGGGCTCTAAAATGGCCCAGGAGCACCAATGTGTCCCTCTCCCACAGATGAAGGTGCAGCTGCAGTGTGCAGGGAACCGGAGCGGGGAGCTGGAGATCTTCACAGCTAGGGCCTGCCAGTGTGACATGTGTCGCCTTTCACGGTATTAGTCACTGGAAGGAGTTCTAGTCCTGCTGTCCACTTGCCATGGGATTGTTTAAATGAGGAGCTGCTCCAGCTCTGACCCTCTGAGTAGTTTGCGATGGCCACCTCCTCAGAAGAGGGGTTCCTGCCTCTTCCTCATCTCTGCTGAACCCTTCTATCCAGCCTCTCATCCCTTCCCTTCCTTCTTTGTCCCTGCCCCTAAATAAAGAAAGCAATTCTTGAGTTTCTCTTTATTCAGTCTACCCCCAGCCAGGGGAAGAGGATAGACTATGATTACTGTGACCCCCCTCACCCCAGGACACTGTGAATCTCTTCTTGCCTGTGCCCTCACCCCTCCCCCTGCCCAATAAATAAAAAAGGGACAAGGAAGTATAGGGCGAGGGAGAGGAGAAAAGGCGGACACCCCAGGGCCAGGACAGTGTCTGTGTTGAGGGTGAGCTGGGCAGAATAAATAAGACCACAGACCCCATGGTAGGGATGAGGAAGGACATGACGCCCACCTGAGGCAGGGCAGGTGAGATGCTGCATGCCCTTGCCCTGGGCAGGAGCAGGGGTGAGTGGGAACCTGCCTGCCCCCAGAGCCCAGAGGTATGGACAGGTGAGAGCCCTGATGGCAGCTTTCTGGTCGAGCCTGCCCTGGTCAAGTCTTGCCACGAGGGCCTGAGAGTTCTGCTGCCAAGACCACCCTCTCATCTTCTCGTCTCCCTGGTGCAAGCTGCCCACACTGGGCTGGGCAGGGAGTCCTCAGGGCCCACTCTGGCAAGGCCAGGGGCAGATGTGCGCCTCTTGGGCCCCTGGGCAGGAGAAGGGACGGAGGGACTGGAAGCTCTGGGCCTAGCTTCTCCCCTTCTGGGGGCTCTAGCTCTGACCCCCACTGGTGGCCACCTGTGGGGTGAGCCGTTGGAGGGGGGCCTCCCTGGATCCCTGGGTGGCCTGTAGTCGGCGCAGCCGCAGCTCCTCCAAGCCTTGCCACAGCTCCTGGCGCTCCCGGGCCTTCTGTTGCTCCCTGGAGAGAGAGGGTGAGGCAGCTCCTACACAGGACGCCCCCAAGCCCATCCTCCCCCACCACCACCCTGCCCCTAAGGGTGAGGTGTGAAACCATATTCTGCCCTATAACACCATAGGAACTCTGTTAGGGCAGCGCTGAGAGACTGCTCCCAGCCTGTACTCAGAGAGAAGAGGAGCTGGCCTGGTCGTAGGGGAGGAAGCCACAGGAAGTCAGAGAAGGGTGATCTGGGAGAACTACTGGGAAGGAGGGCAGGAGGATGTGGTGGGCAGCTGGTGTAGAATGGCCCGGCACATGCAGGAACATGATAGGGGACTGGGGACACACAAGCACAGGCTGGGGGCCCTCCTCTCTGTTCCCTTCAACCCAGGGCCAGACTCCTACTCTTCTCCCCCAGCACTCACTGTTGCTTTTCCAGCTTATAGGAGGCCGTGAGCTCATCAAACAGCTTCCCGTTCATCTCCATGAAGGTCTTGAGCACATTGTAGATCAGAGATACGATGGTTCTTGGCATGGTCAAGGGAGGGGGGTCGAGGTTTTTAAAGCAATGTCAATTTGGCCCCACCTCCCTCTGGCATTCTGCTTTCCCTGTCCCTAAATACACCCACAGCCCCAAATTCCTCAGTACCACCCACTCTCCTTCCCCTTCAGCCCCCAGCCCACCCTTGATACATTCTCTGATCTTTTGCAGCTAGGCGGGCTGGGGCCCCATTTCTGAGGCTTAGGTCAAAACCTGGGCACTCACTGATTCCAGTGCTCCTTGGAGACTTGGTAGAGGGTCCCAAACACAGCAGGCAGCACAGTATGGCAGTTGTCCTCAATGAGGCTCAGGATATACTCATTGTTCCAGAAGTACAGAGCCCGCTCTGCAACCTGAGGCAAGAGAGATGGCAGTAAGTGCTGGCAGTGTCTGTGTATAAGCTCTGGTATCCACCCCTGCTCCAAATCCCCACTCCTGCACTGCACATACCCTATCATGAGGGTGCACTGACCCCGGAGGAAACAAGGTAAAGAGAAAGAGCACTGGGTTTGGAATCCCAATACATGGGCAAATCCTAACTCCACTACAGACTGCCATGCCCATGTGACCTTGTTTGAGGCATTTGACCTCTCAGCCTCACGTGACTAATCTGTAAAATGAGGTTAATGATATCTTCTTCTACCGGTTGTTTTAAGAATAAAATGAGATACTGGACAGTAAGCTATTTAAGAAAGTGAAATAACAAGAAGAACAGATTTCACTGGAGTTATGGTTAACAAGAATGGGAGAAAGGTAGGGGTGGAGCTCAGTGGTCAAACACTTGCCTAGCATCTGAGGTCGTGAGTTCAATAACCAGCATTGCAGAGAGAAAAAAAAAAGGAGAAAGAGGAGGGGGAGGAACAAGGGGAGAAGGGGAAGGATGAAGAAGAATGGGACAGTCTGTGCATGCACACAGGAAAGTGTGAGTTACAGCTACTTAGGATGTGTGGAGGAGCCTAGCTGGGTCCTCCAAGGGACAATTAACAAAGGGGCAAAGTGATAACAACACTCCTTCCCATTCTAGTTCATTTAACCACACATGTTTACAGTCCTGAACTCTTCCATCCTCATCACTACTCTGTGAAGAAATTATTGGCTCATTTTACAGATGAAGAAACTTCATCAGATTCGGAGTGGTGAAGTGTTTTGCCCAAGTCCCTGCTGCCAGCAAAGGCAGATCTGAGGCCTGACCTCACGTATCCTGATCCTAAGTCCAGCATCTCCCTATCATCAGACCCAGAGGACTGGAGGAGAAGCTGAGGGTAAAGGGAACTTCTGGTCAACTGGCCAACCTCCCCAGGTACACCCCACTCCACCCCACCTGTCCCTGTGCCATACCTGGAAATGGGGGCTGGAGACACAGCGAGCCACCTGCTTGAATAGGGGCTCCTGGATCTTTACGAATTGGGAGGGCTCAATGACATCAAGAATCTCTTCCATCTCCCCCAGAAACATCACCTGCAGTGGAGGAGAGGGGTCACAGCTCACATCTCCCCCGGAAACACACACACTGCTGCTTGCCTGCAGGAAGCTGAGCCCTCCCCACCTCCTCCAGTGGGCATCAGAAACCTTCCTCCTACCTCCTTCTGGGTGCAGGTTTTTGGCCAATATTTGAGCAGCCCCCGAATCACCTGTGGGGTAAAGGCAGAAGGGTGTCACACCTGCAGAGTGAGGGCCCTCCTTCCCCCCAGCAGTACTCACATGCTCTGTCAAGGTGGCATCCTTCTCCAGGAACTGTACCACACAGTATGCCAGCTGCAGGGGGTGGAGGAGAAGGACCTGGGGTCAACATGGGACTGAGTACTAAGGCCTGCTGGGTGCCAAGAGGCTGCTTACTTAGTACCTCACCCCTATTCTCCCGGCCCTTACTGCTGCCTAGGAAGCACGAGGCACCATGCGCAGGGTATGGGGACACAGTGATGACTTCACAGGGAACATTCTGCCAACTAATTCTTGGCAACTTTGCAAAAAGATCCCTAATAGATTTCTGTAGTATTTGAGATACAGAAGGAGGGGAGTTTCAGTCTATCCAGGACAGGTAGAGGAGGGAAGGGGCTGAGCTGATGTCCAAGGTCAGCCTTCAAAGCTGAAATTCTCTAAAGTAGCCAGAATTACTACAGATAGTACAGGATGCTGTGAGTGCCAAGCTGATCTCCTGGCCCCACTGGCATCCCTCACTCTGGCAGGAGCACCTCTGTGGCAGGGCCAGGCCTTGGCCTCACCTGGGCATGAAAGACAGACAGAGACTTGACGGAGTGCAGGGGGATCAGGACTCGAACCAGGAACTGTTTGTGCTCAGTCTTCAGGGGCAGTGCAAAGCCATTGATAATGCTGGGGAGGGGGCAGAAGACAGGAACAGGGCTCAGATGACCATGCCCCCTTTCCTCCCCCCAGAATCCTATGAGAGGCCCAAGGCGAATCACCTTCCTAAGATCTCCAGCAGCTCCGCCACACCATTGAAGTGCTCCAGTTCATAGATGAACCTGCAGGGGAAAGGGAAGAATGCAGGAGGATCAGAGCCCAGGGGCAGGCCCAGCACCCCCAGCAGCCATCCTGACTGCCCACCCCCACCCGCCTGCACATCCATCCATCCATCCCTTTCTCTCAACCCAGTAGCCATCTCCCCAGTTTCCCAAACCAAGCCTCAGTGAGATCTATGCAGGCTCCAAAAATGCCACCTTGTCAGCCCAGCCACCTTTGCCCTGAGTCCCATCCAGCTCACCCCTTTTTTCTCCAGTACTGGGGATCAAATTTAGGGCCTAGTACATGCTATCCAAGTGTTTTACCATTGAGCTACATCCCCAGCCCTTGCTAGCCTTGAACTTGCAATGCTCCTATCTCAGCTTCCTGAGAAGCTGGGATTACAGGTGTCTACCACTGTACCCTACTACTCAGCTTCTCTCCTATGGGGCATTCCAGCTTGTCTTTTCCTCCCATCCCGTAGCACTCTACCTCATCCCCCAAGTCAGCAGGCACCTAGCCTATGACCTTCACTCTCCACGCACTCAACCAAAGCAATGACGAACGCTTACAGCACCTACTCTATACCCTGTAATTCTCAAAACTCTCCTGGGAGGTAGGGCATATTAAAGCCATTACACAGATAAGGAAGTTGAGACTCAGTAGTTAAATTACACTTGCTCCAAAGTTAATGAGTGGGGAATCTAATGGACTCCAAGCTCCTGGAGGACTCAGATCACATCTTACCTACTTGGTTGCTAAGAACAATAAGAGCTAAGGTTTCAGAGTCCCCGCCTAGGGCCAGGAACTATACAGAGCACTTTGGAGGCACTACCTTATTTCACCTTGAGGATGGTTCCTGAATTAGTTCCGGCAACATGCCCATTTCAAGAGCAAGGGATCCAGGAAAGTATATAAGTGGTTTGCCCAAGTTCACCTGAACACGGCCATACTCAAATGCAGGCTGATTAACACCAGAGCCATGGTTTCAACTATAAGGCCACGGGGCCCCCAGTGCCAGTGGGTGTTGGTGTGCAATTCATCCTTGCAGAAAGAATCTCTTTTTGGGACCAAAAGGATCGGAAGTTTATATCCTAGGCTCCCCTGGACTGCCCTAGTTCCTGTAAACTATTCCATTGGCCTCCACTTCTCCATCTGGAAAATGGAAATAAATATTCATTCTCTGCTGACTTTACAGGCTTTGTACAATCAATATTGTATCACAGGTCAGGGATTTAGCTCAGTGGTTCCACCACCTGTCCTGCAAGCTCAAGGACCTGAGTTCAATCCCCGGTACCAAAAACAAAATATATTGTACCACAGAGGAAGAATTTGATAAACTGGAATCTCTCCCAAATCCCCTTTACCCCCCTCTCTCAGCAAGTCTCTCCTGGATGGATAGCAGCCACTCACCGGAGGAAGATGTGGTTGCACTGTTTTCGGATATAGGCCCGGAGACCCAGGAACTTGCCATAGACCCGGTGAAGGATGGTCTTGAGGTACTCTCGCTCCCGAGGATCCTCACTATCAAACAGCTCCAGGAGCTGTGGGGCCCAGGGTCAAGGGTCAGATGACAGGTCAACCTCTCTATCCTATTGCATGCCTTCCAAGAGGTCCCCTGCCCTATGCCCCACCCAGCCTGGGCTCCCCCCATCACCATCAGGACAAACTTTTGATCCACATATCTCTTGGCCACAGAGGGCTGGAAATCTGGGCTCTCCAAGAAACGCAGGAAAAATTCATATACCAGCTAGGGAAGAGAGACAAAAAGGTGAGTTTGGTCACAGCCTTAGCCACTCACCCCACCCTCCGGCCCTTATTCAACAGTCTACAGGCTAAACAGACCCTCCCCCAGCCCTTCTGATCTCCTCTGAAGTGTGGATGCCAGCCCCCTCCCCATCACTCTTCATACTTGCAGATGTGGCCAGGAAGGCTCCAGGTTTGGCTCATCCTCTTCAGGGTCAAATTCAGGGTTCTCACTGGGGGGCAGGGTCCGGAAGATATTCACTGAGATCTGGGGGGTGGGGGGCAGGAGTCAGGGTTCCTTAAGAAAGATCCCATGAAGGCAGAAGTCAGAGGGGTCCCCCATCCAAATTCTACTGGTTTGACCTCAACATCTGCTCCAGCAAGTAGCTGACTCCTTGGGCAATCGTCACCTGAACACCTGGGTCCACAAGCCCTAGGCCAGTGGCTGAGGACACAAGAACAGATGGGTCACATCCCCAGGCAGGTGCAATCCAGAGGAGATGAGACTGAAAACAGTAAAGTCCACAGGCATTCTGGGCAGGAAATGGACCTTGAGAGGAACTTCACCGAAGAGGCAGCACCAAACCCAGGCCATGGAGTGACCTGGAGGAAGGGCACTCCGGGTTTCAGCTCACATCAGCCAAGGCACAGAAGTGGGCCAGGCAAGGAGGCCCTGAGTGGGCAGTGGGCAACAGTGGGGTCACAGGGAGTGCAAGGCATGCTGAACTCTTTGCTCAGGGGTCCAAAAGTGGGTCAGCAGAGTTCACGTGTCCCTTAAGCAGTCGCCCAGAGGATGGGCCCAGTGCTCACCATGCGGATGATGTCTGGGTAGACAGGCTCAATGAGGACTCCCCGGGTGCTTCCCACACATTCCACCAGCTCGTTGAGTGCTGCCCGCTTTACCTCCTTCCCCTTCAGGTCAGCCACACAGTCCAAGAAGTCAAACATCACCCCACACTGGGCCAGTTTCCGGCTCAGCAGCTCATGCAGCTCAGAGGCTGGCACATCTGGGGAGGACAAGGGACTGAACCTGGTGCCAGCTGCAGAGCTCTAGGCAGGGGTAGACCTCCTAGTCCCAGGGGCAAGCTTTCCAGGCAGCCTCTGCTCTCTCCAGATCCCATTCTCTGGTACCATCTTTCATTCCCTGCAGACAGCAAACAACTTGGGTTCTATCTGCTTATCCCTAGGGGCTGGGGGAATCTTCCTCTCTCTCCTAATCCATGCTCAGATACTTACAAAGATTTTAAAGCAAGATCACAAAGCCTGGATGTGTGAGTTTTCCCAAAACAGCCACTGCCACCCTCTCCTAGGTGGCATCTTGTACTATAAGCTAGAAGTGGAGAGGGGCTCAGGGATGAGGGCAGGGCCTATGTGGTGACCACAGGAAGCCATGCCAAGCACCAGCCCCAGGACCCAGAGAGCTGGCTAGATTAATAGTGACCTTCTGGAACCCAGACTGTAGGCCATATTCTTGGCCCTGGCCTGCCCCCCAGGGTGGCACCACCTCCAGTTGCCCCACCTCCAGGGATGACAAGCCTGTCAGGCCATGCGTCAGCAGAGAGCTGGTGGGCTACAGGGAAGTTCTGATGATGGAATCCCTAGCCTGGCAGCACCTTGCAAGCTCCCTCTGACGGATGCGTCTCACCCCACCCTCAGCCTCGATGGCTTAGGCACCCCGACAGCCAGCATCAGGCTCACCTTTGAGCAGGGGCAGTGGTGTGAGCTCTTGCTGGTTGCTCTGATAGCGAAACTGAGAGGAGCTGTGTGAGCGTCGGGGCCGGGCCCTGCGGAGGGAACGGCGGGAGAAGCCGTCCACCTTGTCCGGTGGTGGCACAGGCGACAGCCCTGGGGAGGAGGGGCTGGTGGGGGTGCTCGCAGGGGGCAGCTTCGTCTCCATGGCAGGCAGGCCAGGTCAAGTTTTCAGAGCACCTGGGGCTCCTTCTGGGCCTGGAGGATGCTGGGTGAGGCTGGGTGGACTAACTCGGGCCCATCCTGTCTGTTGGGGGGGGGGGGCACAACCACAGTCCTGGCCCCCCCCAGGGCCTTCGGCTACTGCCCAGTCCTTGGGGGCAGGCAGTGTGGAAAGGAGATGGCTCAGGCCTCAGGTACTTCCTGGGGGTCCAGAAGAGTGCAGTCAGGGTTCACTCCGGCTCTTGAGAGGAGGAGTCAAGGCAGAAAGGTCAGCAAGAGAAGCAGAGACAGCGGTCAGCGCTTTGCTGCAGCTGGATACCCTGCCTCCTTTTCCCTCCTACCCTCTTCAAGACTCCAAATTAGGGGTGCAGCCTCCTCCCACCATGGGCTTGTTTCTCTCTTCTTCCAGACTGAAAGGCTCAAGATCTAAAATAACCCTTTCCTAAATAGGGCCTATTCTTCAAGACAGTCCTACTCAGAATGGGCACCCCATACCTCATTGCTACCCCTCATCCAAATGGGGCTGCCCCTCTCCACTAATGCCAGCCACCCTGGACTCCCAAGAACAGGGGCCCTGTTCCCTTCCTTCACCACTGCACCCTCCCCACCTCAGCGCCTCTTTTCTGGTCCCCCAAGTCCCAAGGTGGGGGGACACTCACTTCTCAGAAACCCAGACTTTGGTTGCGGGAGGTGGCAGCGATTTAGGGCTCCTCTGCAGCAGTTCGGCCGCTCGGGGCGCTGGGGCTGGGCGGCGGCGCTCCTGGGTTCCCTCCCGGGCTCCGGGGGGGGCTGGGGCATGCCGCCAACTCAGCCTCGGGTGGGGGCCGGGCGCACGACGGGCTCCAGGGCTGGCCGGGTCGGCGCGCAACCTCCGCAGATGTCGGGAAGTCAGACCCCGCGAGGCGCAGCGCAGCGCAGAGAGAGGCCCGGCTCTGCGCGCACCGGCGCCCGCCGCCCAGCTGCTCAGGATGACATCAAGTCACCTCCCCCTGCCAGGCCCGCACCTCCCCGCGGCCGGGAGGAGGGGGGCCGCTGCGTCAGGGAAGCCCCGGGCCGCTGGGAAATGTAGTTCCCTCTCCTCTTAAAGGCAGCGCCCGGAGCGGCGCTCACCCCGGAGCGCGGGCTCAGGGCACCGGCTGCGGGTCTCGAGGCTGGGGGAGCCAGGCGGGATGGCTCCAGCGGCAATCTGGGCTGCTGGACTCTGGTAGGGAGACTGCGGGGGGAGGGGGGGAGGACTCCGGAGTTCGCACTGGGGACGAGCGCAGATGCTGCGACACTGGTGGGAAAGAGGCACAGCGCTTATGCCACCCCAACGGATTTGGCGGGGATCACCTGTGCCCCAGGTCATCTCAGAAGGAAACCCGCTCATCCCAGAATGGCCCAACACTTCTAGAAACTCCTTGAAAACTGGGACGTCACTAGTTAATAGTCTGCGATGAGTCAGGGCCTGCTGGCAGGGCTGTGACTCATCCGAGGCTGCTGGGAAATGCAGTCCATTTTCAGGCCTGCAGTCCCCCTCCCTTCCCTTGCTGTGTGCGGTGACATCATGGTCTGTGGTTTAAAGGGGCAGCCGTGCAGGGGCAAAGCAGGAGAGCCGAAGATGCTCCCCTGGAGCTCCTACCCACCCTTGGCAACCCGGCTGCCCAGTTTGGACCTCCCAGGCCCTCTGACCTCACATGTGCTGAAGAGTGGACAGGGAGCTCAGGATCAGCATCTTGCTGATGGCTACCCAAGGAACAGCTGGGATTGGAGGAAATTGGCATTCTGGCCCAAAGTTCCTAGAACCTTGGATCCCAATACGCTTTATTCTCCTGAACTGCTGTGGAATCTCTGCCTTGAACTTTTTTCTGGATGCAGGACTCATCCATGCTGAGCAGCAGGAGAGAGTACTGAGGTCTGGGTGAGGCCCTTTTCAGAGTATGCCCCATCCAGCTTTGGGCCCTGGTGACCACTCAATGCAGCAGAGGAAACTTGCCCAAGAGATGCCCAACTGCTGGAGCAACAGAAACCAAAGGACTGCACTGAGGGCTGTAGGTTGGCCTGGGCGGGCTGGGGCTATATCGCTGGAGACCTGGCCACTGCTTCCCTCACTCAGAAACCTTCAGCAGCCTTACTATGGGGGCCTTATCTGCCAAATGGAGGCTCATGGGAACCCCAGGCTCAGGAGGTAAAAAGCCTTCCTGATAACCCTCGAACAACATGAAGAAGGACAGACCCACAGAGTCTCCTGCAGCCAGGCCAGGACCCTGAGGTCCAGGCAGGAATTTCTTACCCAAGGTCACACACCCTGTCATCAAAAGCAGGGACCAAGCAGGGCACTGTGACACATGCCTGTAAGCACTCAAGAAGGTTGAGGCAGGAGAATGTTCAAGCCCCACCTGGGCAAGTTAGAGACACCCAGTCTCAAAATAAAATAAATAAATGGGCCTGGGGACATAGCTCTATGGTAGAGCAATGCTGGGCTTGATCCCCACAGTGAAGAAAAAAAAAAAGCAGGGACCAAGCCTTCATCCCCCAGCTGGCTCCAGCTCCTACCACAGACGCTCTGACCATGGAGGACAGGTGCTTTGTACAGAGCAGGTGCTCAGGCTGAGGACTGGGGGACTTAAGGGTGGAGCAGAGGATAAGACTTCTGGAGCAAATAGCACTGGGTTTTTGTTTTGTTTTGTTTTTGCAGTGCTAAGGATCAAACCCAGGCGTGAGCACATGCTAGTAGGCAAGTGCTCTACTACAATGGGCTACACCTCCATCCCCAAAAGTGACAACTGAAGTGGGTCTCAAAATAGGCAAAATTGTCAACTGAGTTGGGAGAGGAGGGTTTCTGGGTTGAAATATTTTTCTTCTTTTTGGTTATTTTGAGACAGGGTCTCACTGTGTAGCCTAGACTAGACTCGAACTCAATGATCCTCCTGGCTCAGCCTCTTTTTTTCCCCTTTGAGACAGGGTCTCTGTTACCCTGGGCTGGTCTTGAACTTCTGGGCTCACTTGATTCTTCTGCCTCAGCCTCCCAAGTATCTGTGCCACCACACCCAGCTCTTCTTTTACTTGTTTGTTGGTGTTGTAGGGATTGAACCTAGGGCCTTTAGACCGAGCTACAACCCCAGCCTCCCCCACCCATTTTAAATTTTGAGACCAGATCTCACTAAGTTGCTAAACTGCTCATGTTGGGCTGGAACTTGTGATCCTCCTGCTTCAGTCTCCTAGGCATGCACTACCATGTCAGACTTTTAACATCTTTATTGAGGTATCATAGACATACTTTGCTTATTAGAGCACTTGTCTAGCACAGGAGAGACCCTGGATTCAATCTCTAGCACCACAAAAATGAAAAATATCCACACAGACCTACCTTAAAATTCACTCATTTTGGAGTTGTTTCATGAGTTTATCATTTCAATTTTGCAAGATCAAAAGATCTGGGGCCAGATGTGGTGGTGCATGCCTGTAATCCCAGCCCTCTGGAGGCTGAGGCAGGAGGATCGCTGTGAGTTTAAGGCCAGCCTGGGCTACATAGTGAGTCTGAGGCAAGCCTGAACAACACAGCAAGACCCTGTCTCAAAACAAATAAAGACAACAAAATATTTGGAAAAAAAAAAAGATCCGGGGATGGGTTCCATAACATTTTGAGCATACTTAAGTGCACCAAACCCAAACTGTACACTTAAAAATGGTATGACCCGGGTGTGGTGGCTCACATCTGTCATCCCAGCACTTGGGAGACTGAGGCAGAAAGATCCTCTTGAGTTTGAGGCCAGCCTGAACTACGCACTGAGTTCAAGGCCAGCCTAAACTACACAGCAAGACCTTGTCTCAAAAAAACAACAAAAAAAGGTATTAATGTGGTAAAATTTGTTCTGTGTAACATGATGCATTACAGTATATTTCTATCACTACATACATTGAAACATACTCAAAACAAAGATTGAAAAAAGTTCAATCCAATTTAGCTATACAATTCAACAGTTTTTTGTTTGTCAGTACTGGGGAGTGAACCCAGGGCCTTCTCACTAAGTTACATCTCTAGCCCTCTGTATTTATTATTTCAAGACAAGTCTCACTAAATCACTAAGTTGTCTGGGCTGGGCCCAAACTTGCCATCCTCCTGCCTCAGCTTCCCACAGTGCTGGGATTACAGGTGTGTCCCACCATGCCCAGCTCAATGTTCTTAAAATACTTATAAATGAACTTTCTATTTTGAGTGTGTCCAGATCTCACTGTACTCCTGATTGCCCTGAGCTACCTTCCTGGAGCTCTTTTGGCCTGAACACTTGTTCTGTTCCTTTGCCTCTTCGTGGGAACTTCCTCTTACTCCATTCTTGTCAACTAGCTGTCTTCTCCTGGAAAGCCCCTACCCTTCAGACAAGATATGGACCATTAGCCAGGCTTTGTGGTGCATACCTGTATTCCAGCAGTCTAGGAGGCTGAGGCAGGAGCATCCAAAATTCCAACCCAGGGCCGGGAATTTAGCTCAGTGGTTTGGCCACCTGCTGTGTAACTGCAAGGACCTGAGTTCAATCCCCGGTACCAAAAAAAAAAGAAAAAAGAAAAAGAAAAACAAAATTCCAACCCAGGCTGGGCATGGTGAGGGACAGCTGTACTCTCAGCCTTCAGGAGGAGGCTGAGGCAGGAGGATTGCTTCGAGTTTGAGATCGACCAGTTACATAGTGAGTTTAAGGACAGCCTGAACTACACAGTGAGACTCTGTCTCAAAAAAAAAAAAAAAAGATTTAGCTCAGTGGTTCCGCTGCCTGCCTCACAAGTGCAAGGTCCTGAGTTCGATCTCCGGTACCAAAAAAAAAAAAAAAAGAAAGAAAGAAAGAAAGAAAGCAAAAGAGGGCCAGGGATTTAGCTCAGTGGTTCCAGCACCTGCCTCACAAGCGCAGAGTCCAGAGTTCAATCCCCTGTACCAAAAAAAAAGAAAAAAAGAAAGTTCCAGACCTGCCTGTGCAATTTAGTGATTTAGTAAAACCTTTTCTCAAAAAATTTTTTAAAAGGGAGGAAGGGGCTGGTGAAACCCAGGCCCTCCAAGGACTGAGGTGAGAGCCACAGCCCCCAGGCCACCTTCTGTGATCCCTTCCACAACCACCTGATCCAGCCAAGCAAACTCCCTGGAGGAGGGTGGGCCAAACCTGGGGGAAGGGAGAGTTCCAGCCACTCAAAAGTGCCTCCCTGCCCCCCAGAACCCACCTGGAGGCACTGCCGGCCCTTTCCTCCCTCTCTATGGGATTCAGGCGTCCAGGAGCAGCCCCCCAATGCAGTGTCCAGGGCTAGCGTACTTGTTAAGACTGCTGGGCCTGCTGGGCATGGTGGTGCACACCTGTAATCCTGAGGTAGGATAGAAGAAATAAAGCTAGGTAGAAAGGAGACAAGGAAATCAAAACTTTATAAAAATTATATTTTAAAGAAAACTACTTTATTTTTTTATCCCATTTCCCCCTTCAAGCCCCCTCCCCTCCCCATGTACAAAAGCTTTGTTGTTTTTTTTTTTCCGGTACCAGGGATCGAACTGAGGACCTTTCGAGGCAGGCACAGTGCCACTGAGCTAAATCCCCCGCCTGAAACTATACTTTATTTATTTATTTTTTGGTACCAGAGATCGAACTCGGAACCTTGTGATTGCGAGGCAGGCACCTGAATCACTGAGCTAAATCCCCAGCCCTCAAAACTGTACTTTAAACAGAACACAAATCTGGTTTATTTACTTTTTTTCCTTCTCCCGAAACAGCAGTGCTAGGCAACACCCTTTTACTTGCAAATGGGCCTCTTTCACTCTTGAAGGGACCATCCTTTTGGCATTTCCCACAGGAATAGCTCATTAAGGGTGGCCTTCCTCTCCCACCCACCTCCACCCTCTAAGACTAAGATTTATGATTATAGATTTTTTTTTTTTTTGGTACCAGGGATGGAACTCAGGACCTTGTGTAGCATGTGCGGTGCCACTGAGCTAAATCCCTGGCCCTACAGATTATTGAGTGCTACAGATTTCAAGCTCCCAAAACACATAAAATATCCCCAGTTAGGGCCAGTGATTTAGCTCAGTGGTTCCCAGTGGTTCCGCAGCCTGCCCTGCAAGCACACGGACCCGAGTTTGAGCCCCCGTACCAAAAAAAGATCCCCAGTTCGCAACTATATTGTGCCTCATTTCTTTGAGCACCTGCCCTCAGCTCTTGAATGTGTTCTATATCTACCTCTAAGAAATCATTCTCTTGCCTCTTTCGCTAATGAGTCCTGAAAATTATTTTACAGTGATGGGAGCCAGCGAACTTGCATAGTTATGTGAAAAGGGTGGGTTAAATTCCTTATTTCAGTCCCTGGGGGCCTCAGACCCAGCCCATGACAATCCTAGGTCTTGAAGGGTGAGGCAGGAGGATTGTTCTGAGTTCAAGGCCAGCCTGGGCTACTTAGTGAGACATGTCTTTAAAAAACTAATTTAAAAAAAATACTGGGCCTGAAGCTAGGCCTAGGACTGCATCCCAACACCATCCTCCCCTGCCAGGAAACTATGGTCATGGTCTCCCTCACTCTGCAGTACTTTGTATTCACTCATTAGGCTCCTGCTCCAAGGCCTGGGCCCAGTTGTGGGTGGCTGCCTCTGGAGTTGGTTTCCTGAGAAGCCTGAGGTGACTTATCTGGGGAAGATGGCAGAAGGACCTCTGCAGCCCTGACAGCCCTGCTGTGGCACACACTTTGCTGTGACTCAGGCTCAGGAATGGACCCAAGGGAACCCACCCTAAGGTGCAGATGTGGATGGCCCACTGTGTATGACAGCCAGCCATGGGTGTGGGTGCAGTCTGACCCTGATGCCCACTTCCCTCAAGGGAACAGGCTCAGGAGACAGCCACCTCAGAACACCCAGGCCAAGGTATAGGCAGTGACTCTGTGTCCCTAGCCTTTGTACATGGTGGACCCTGTTTCCACAGCAAGGGAATGATCACCCTCTCTGAGACTGCCCATTTTACCTGGACTGTAGGAGAGTACTCCCACTCCTCCTGCCTTTGGAAGGGGAAGTAGAGGCTGTGAAATCACCTGCTCCACAGGCACTTGGGTACACAGCCTCAGTTTCTTCCCATCAGATGGGAACACTAACAGTGCCTCCATTATGAGCTCACGGAGAAGACAGCACATGTTAAATAACAAACCCAGGATGGAGGACATCAAATAAGTGCAACTCATGGTGTCTTTTTTTCTCTTTTGTTTGTGGGGGGGGGGCGGGGGGGGCTGTTAGTACTGAACCCAAGTGTATTCTACCATTGAGCTACAACTCCAGCTCTTTTTGTTTTATTATTGGGAGATAGGGTCTCACTAAGTTGCCCAGGCTGGTCCCAAACTTGCAGTTCTCCTGCTTCAGGATCCCAGGTCACTGGAGGCTATCATATCAGGCTGCCTCCCTGCATGGGCCTTCCCCCTGTTTCCTGAGTCCCCTCGGAGGCAGACCCTCCCAGGTACAGTAATGAGTGGTCCTGCCTACCCCTAAATTTATGGGGGAATAAAACTGAAGCTGGCAGAGTGGTGACTTGCCTGAGGCCACCCAGAACTCAGACTGGAATCCAGTTCCCTGCCTGCCCTGGGCCAGGGTGCTTGGTTACCCATCTCAAAGTGACTTTTGGCATTAGACTAAAACAGAGTCCAACTCCCCAGTAAAGCTAAAATAGAATCACGTTTACTCATAGATGTCCGCTAAGTCTCCCTTGATGTAAGAGGCTCTGTGGCCAACTGTGTAGAGCAGGGGTTGGCAAATTTTTTTCTATAAAGGGTGAGAAAATAGATATTTTAGGCTTACTGGGTCCTCCCTCAAGTACTCAACTCTGCCATTGTAGCAAGAAAACAGCCCTAAAGGGCCAGTATTTCGCTCAGTGGCATGGAGCTTGCCTTAAGTGCAAGGTCCTGAGTTTGATCTGTACTGGGGGGAAAATAACAGCCTTAGACAGCCTTTAACAAGTGAGCAAGGCTGTGTCTCATTGAAACTGTGTTTATGGACACTGAAATGTGAATTTCATGTGATTTTTCATATGTCATGAAATTTTTTTTTTCCAGTATTGGGGATTGAACTCAATACCTGCCTTGTGAGGCAGGCGTGGCACCACTGAGCTAAATCCCTGGCCCACTTTTTATCTTTTCAACTTTTGTTTTTCAGTACTGGGGACTGAACCCAATGCCTTTGCACTGAGCTACATGCTCGGCTCTTTATTTTTTATTTTGAGACAGAGTCTCACTAAGTCACTAAATTGCCCAGGCTGGACAGAAACTTGTGATGCTCCAGCCTCATCCTTCCAGAGTGCTGGGATTACAGGTGTGTCACCAAACTGGGTTTTTTTCAACCGTTTTAGGACTTTAAAATTTAGCTCACAAGCTGTACAAAAACAATGGATCCCTGCTCAAGGGAGGTGGAATCCATTCTTTATTGATTTTAGGATTAGAGCTATGAAAAGCTATTATTATTCCAGAGAGGGCCCCAAGGCTTGAGCAACTGCTCAGAGCAAGGAGGGTCAGTTAACCTCCCGCAGAGCATTCCGCGGTGAGGATAAAACAAGACCTTCCTGGTGATGGAGTCCGTAACCTTTATGAAGCTGTTTTCTGATCTGTAAAGTCCTGACAATGATCCCGACCTTAGAAAGTTAAGAGAGTTGAATGCAATAAAGGATGGTAAAACGTTTTATTAAAAAAAAAAAGTTTAAATAAATTAATAAATAAAATACAAATGTTTGTTCACTTGTTTCCACAGATGCAAGCTGCCAATCTCACACTCACTTGATTCCACTGGAAAGCCTTCTACGAAGTTTGATGGGACAATGTCCCTTTAAATCCTTCCCAACCACCTAAAGTAGTCGGAAGAGTCCGCACAGGCGCATTCCTCTGCGTGATCGGCACCACCCCGCCCCAACAGTCGGCCCCCCAGTCAGTGTGTTGGGGAGTAGGAGGTGGTTTTAAAGGTCCTCCCACACAGTACTTCTACGCAAGCGTACATCATGATTGAGAGCACTATATCACGCCGTGAGCCCAGTCACTTTTTCCGCTTCTAAAGGCTCCGCCCTCCACGACCAATCAGCGGGACGTACCCTTTCCTAAGGCCAATGGCAGCGAGGGTGGGGGCGTGTCCAGGTGTCCGGGGGCGCGGCCTGGCGCTGAGAGAAGCTGCTGGGAGAGCCCGGGGCTCTAGTGAACAGCGCAGCCGGACGGGATCACCGGCTGGCGGCCCGTGGAGGCGGCCCGGGCCCGGCGGTCCCCGAGATGTCACGATGGTGTCTGTGGTCGAACTATGCGAAAGAGCGGGTGTGTCGCTACTTGCTGCACCGCTACTTGGGTCACTTCTTCCAGGAGCACCTCAGCCTGGACCAGCTCAGCCTGGATCTCTACAAGGGCTGCGTTACCCTGCGGGACATCCACTTGGAGATCTGGGTGAGGAGCCAGGCCAGGCCTGGGAACGGGCCAGGGGTGGGATCGCAGCGACGCGGGGCTCAAGCGAGAGAGTCGGGCTGGGGGACCCGGCACCAGGCAGCCTCCGGGCGTCAGGGCACCCCGCTGGTTGCTTCAGCTCCTTCCCCAAGACGGTCTAGGGAGCGGATGTCACTTGTCTGGGAGTGCCAGCATAATGACATCGAGGTCGGGGGCGAGAGAAGGGCTGAGGGGGAGCTGGAGCACTGAGGGCCCTGGTGGAGTGGGGCCGGTGAGAGTCGGGGACCCGGCAGCCGGTAGCGAAGGTTGGTAGGGGTCCAGGGCTCTGGCGAAGGCACTTGTGGAAAATGTGCCCTGACCTCCTGACCCCACAATCCCGAGCCCGGTGGGTGGGGTTCGCCCCCGGATGTGGATGTCAACAACAGCGTCAGCACCCGTGTTGATCAACACCGCGTGTGACTGCAGCCGCCGCCACCGGCGCAATCTACTTCCTGGTTTGGGGAGAGTGGGGCAGACCAAGCGAGGTTTAGGGAGGGACTTGGGACCCTGCATCCCTCGCTAGGGGGGGTCCTCAAGAAAGACTGAAGGTCTCCCCTAGGGTAGGGAAGAATCGGAGGAGAGCTGAGGAAAGGTCTGAGTCGGAGGCCTGAGGCTGGGGCATAGGTGAGGGGCCCACCTCACAGTTCAGCTGACCTGGGGGATAACAGAGGAGCCACCAATTAGAGACCCTCTCGGTCCAGAGCAGCATGGTGGGCACAGATGCAGGACCTTCTCTGTTGCTGGCCTCAGGGATCTCTGCTCTGGGCAGGAAGAGCTGAATTAGGGACAAGCTAGGCCTTGGGAGCCTCCTGAGTCTATGAGGTTCAGTGTGGGAGGCCTTCCTGACTTGTGACCTCAGCCTCTTGGATGGCCTGAAAACTGGCCCAGACCTCCAGGAGCCCCGGAAAACAGGGCTTATAGGCTCCTAGCTGGGCTGCTTTACAGATTGGCCTCTGTCAGAATGCAGACACCTTATTGCTCACCTGCATCCCCCACCTGGAGGCCCCCAAAGAGTCTATGTACCTGGAGACTCAGGCAGGTTGGGAAAAGCCCTGAGTCCCAGCTTTAGTCCTCACAGTACTTAGAGCGACTAGATCAGTTTCATCCTTATGTGTGTGTTCCCCATCCCTGGATGAGGAATTTGGACTCAGACTCCATAGGCCTTCTGGCTCAGCCTATGTGGTTTTTGTTTTGTTTTTTAAAGACAGGGTCGCTGTGTAGTCCAGGCTGGCCTTGAATTCACTATGCATCCCCCAAGCTGGCCTCCAACTCTAGCGGTTCTCCTGCCTCAGCCTCCTCAGCGCTGAGATCACAGGCATGCTCCACCACACCTAGCTTCTGCCTATGCTTGTTTATTTGCATGTCCAGCAAGTGCTTTCTGAGGGTCACTGAAGAGCACTGGGGTCACTGAAGAAGGCAGGTGCACTGTTGTCTCGAGGAGCTCCCAGGCTGGCGGGGGTGCAGGCATTTTGGGGAGCTCAGTCTTGTGCCTCAGAACTACACCAGTGTCTAGGGCTCAAGGGTCCCACCTTCTGTTAAACTCAGTGCTTGCCTAGGGTGAACATGAGGTGCTCTGCCCTCTGCCAGGCCTTTGCGTGCTGTACCCATGCCTGGAACATGCCATCGTCTGTCCCCTCTGCCTGCTGCCTCCTCTTCACCCTCTATCTCTCCCCACCCTGAATTCCCAGGCTGGATTAGGTGCAGTTCCCCCTCCTCCGTTCCTACTCCTTTTTGAATTTCTTCCTGATATGCTCTGGATACAGCCTCCCTAAATTGAGGCTGAAGACATTTTATTTACCCATGTGGCCTGGACATGAACGCATAGAAGGTGCTCAGTAATTTTTTTAAGCTGTACTGGTGATTGAACCCAAGGTTTGTTTTTTTTTTTGAGACAGGGTCTCGCTATGCAGTTCAGGCTGTTCTTGAACTCACTATGTAGCCCAGGCTGGCCCCTAATCCTCCTGCCTCAGTCTCCCAAGTGCTGGGATTACAGGATTACACCACCACGCCCTGCTGATCCCAAGGCTTTTGCACTAACCTACGTCTTCCAGCCTTATTTATTGGTTTTTGGAGACAGAGTCTTGCTATGTGGTTAAGGTTGGAACTCACTAAGGCTCTGAACTCACTACATAGCCCAGGCTGGCCTTGAGCTTTGGCAATCAATCCTCCTGCCTCGGCCTCCCAAGTGGATCTGGACTGTGGGGGTTACAGGTTTGCACCAACACACCTGGTGAGATACGGTTTTTATAAATTGCTCAGGATAGATTTGAACTCATTACTTCCTAGCTCACCCTCCCAGAGTTCTGGGATTACAAGGCTTGCTTCACCACTCCCAGCAATGATTTTTGAGTTGAATGGAGAGGGAAACATTGAGCTGATTTAAAGGATTGAGCGACTTTGGATGTGGGATGGAGGGACAGGGTAGGGTGGGGAGCAGCATGAGCCCCAGCAGGGCCTGTGGACAGCATGTGAAGGGACGGGGAGAGCACTCTCCAAGACAGACAAGTGGCTAAAGCAAGACTGTGGCACCCAGCCAGATTTGGGGCTTCACTGAGCTAGCTTTGTTCCTTGTCTGCCCCTAGTCTGTGAACGAGATGCTGGAGTCAGTGGAGTCGCCGCTGGAGCTGGTGGAAGGCTTTGTGGGCTCCATCGAGGTGGCTGTGCCCTGGGCTAAGTTGCTCACCGAACATTGCACTATGCGTGTGTCGGGCCTCCAGCTCACCCTGCAGCCCCGCCAGTGCCCAGGTGAGGGTGGGCACGGCTGGGCAGGTACCCGGGAGGAGCTGCTTATGTCTGCTTGCCCTGAGACCCACTTCCTCCTCAGGGCCAGGGGCTGCTGACTCACAGACCTGGGCTTCATGTATGACCACAAGCCTGCAGCTGGCTCAGGAGTGTCTGGGTGATGGGCTGTCTGACCCCTCAGAGCCACCACAGCCCCTAGAGGGGCTGGAGATGTTCGCACAGACCATCGAGACTGGTGCGTAGCCCCTCCTGGCTCCCCTGTCCCCAGCCCTTTCATGGCCCAAAGAATAGAGGCTGCAGCTAGCAGCACAGCTGCCCTGCTGCCCACGTGAGAAACAGTCTCTCTCTAGCTGCTGTACCTGATCTTAGCCCGCACCACCCTGCAGTGCTGCGGACGATCAAGGTGACTTTGCTGGACACTGTCGTGAGGATAGAGCACTCGCCCAGAGACCGGGAGCATGGCATGGCCCTGGAGGTCCATGTGCAGAGGTAGGGGCAGGCTGGTTGGGGTGGGCTGGCGAGAGCTGCTGTATGACCCTGTCAACCCCACCTCTGCCTAGCCCAGGCTCCTGGGAAGTGGCAGGCCAGGGCAGGGTGGGCTATACTGGGAGACTGGACTGGTGAACAGGGCCAGGTGGTGCAGGCCCAGAGTGACTGGAGCCCCAAGGACCAGGTTAGACATGGAAGGTCAGAGGAGCAAGGGTCAGCCTGAGCCCCCAGCTGGATGTGGTGGTCCAGGATGGCCTGGGTATGATGAACAGCTCTGCAGGTCAGGCTCCCCAACCCCATGCCCCTAGAACAGAGCACTGTGTGGAGAGAGGACTCCAAGCCTGGGGTGGCCAGGACAAGGGCTGACCCTGTGCTTCCCAGACTGGAGTACTGTGATGAGGTGGTCCGGGACCCAAGCCAGGCACCCCAAGTGGATGTGCACCAGCCACCTGCCTTCTTGCACAAGCTGCTGCAGCTAGCAGGGGTCCGCCTGTACTTCGAGGAGCTCTCCCAACAGGTGGGCAGACTAACTCCCACACCCTTGATCCTCCTGCCTGCCTCCATCCCTCTGACCATCTTTTCAACTCCCCCCAGGCAGAACCACCAGAGCCCCCCTTGCAGATTGGCAGCTGTTCAGGGTACATGGAGCTGACGGTGAAGCTAAAGCAGAATGAGGCTTTCCCAGGCCCCAAGGTGGGTCCCCAGGCCCCTGGGGAGCAGAGAGAACATGTGCCCCATCTCAGCCCCATCCTCACCGATGCCAGTCACCCTCAGGCCAGGGGGGTGGGGTGGAATGTCAAGTGGGAGAAATTACTACTGTCTTGGCAATTAGAGAAACTGAGGCTCAGAGAAGTCAAGCTGTGGCCAGCCTCATACAGCTAGTTGGTGACAGAGTTTATTGTAACAGTGGGCATCCTTTCTTCCCCAAGGAGAGGGTAGGTGGGTGGCAGCTCCCAGAGGGGCTGAGTGGTAGGCACAGTTCCATGTCTGTCCCCTTGCACGCAGTTGGAGGTGGCAGGACAGCTGGGCTCCCTGCACCTGCTCCTGACCCCGAGGCAACTCCAGCAGCTTCTGGAACTTCTCAGTGCTGTCAGGCTTGCAGGTGAAGCTTCTGGGTGGTCCAGGGATAGGTGGCAGGGAAAGGCCAGCCAGGCTGGACTGAAAACACCCTCTCCTATAGAACCAGAAGGCCTGGCTGACAAGTTGAACAAGAGCCGCCCACTAGGTGCTGAAGACCTGTGGCTGATTGAGCAGGATCTGAACCAGCAGCTGCAGGCTGGCGCTGTGGCTGAACCCCTCAGCCCAGACCCCCTTACTAACCCCCTTCTCAATGTGGACAGCACTGGTTGGTATAGGGGCCATTGCGGGTTGGGGGACAGGAGTCTGGGGGTCCAGCCTCTCTGTCCTGACTCCCCTGCTTTGCCCTCAGACCTCTTCTTCTCCATGGCTGGCCTCACAAGCAGTGTGACCTCAACTGTCTTGGAGTTACCTCTCTCTGACGTAGACATAGGGTCCTCTGTGCACAGCAACATAGCCTCCTGCCAGCTCTCTGCCCCGACCTGTGCAGCAGGTGAGTTGGGGACCTTGAGTAGTGCTCTGGGGGGAGAAGGGCTAGAAGAGGCCTCTATCCAGTGGGCTGTCAAGTACACGCTAGAGACCCCCCAGTGATGTCTGGAAACCAGCTACCTGTGACTCGGTTTCCTGGGGATCTGACTTGGGAGGTAGTGGTGTGGTGCACAGGGCCTACCTACGTTGCCAAGCGCTCTTGGCCAAGTGCTTAAACATTCTAAGAGTCAGTCTCCTCTCCTATAAGAAGTAACACCAGCCTGCCTCGCAAGCGCAAGGTCCCAAGTTCCATCCCCAGTTCCAAAAAAAAGACCAGGCTCCAGGCTGTATGTTTTAGTCAGTGTTTGAGCTTTTTTTTTTTTTTTTTTGTACTGGGGATCGAACTCGGGACCTTGTGCTTGCAAGACAGGGGGCAGAACCACTGAGCTAAATCCCTGGCCTGTCAGTGTTTGAGCTTATTGTGGGTTAGGCCCTGGGCTGGGGGCTTTAATCACATCAACCAATCCTTTTAGCCCCATGAGAGAGTTATGTTGAGCCTGAGCAGAGGACCTGGCTAAGCACCATGATGGACAGATTTGGCCCCACAGTGCAGCTTGGCCAGGGTTTCTCCAGCCTCTAGGTCTGTGGCTGCCTGTCAGTCAACATGGGGTCCCCATGAGCTCCCAGGAGCCCCCTGGTGAAGCCTCTGTTCCCCCAGGAAAGGCGGCCCCTACTCCCTTTCTGGACAACATGCGCCCTGACTCGCTGCTGAAGATGACCTTGGGGGGCGTGACCTTGACCCTGCTCCAAACATGCACCCCATCTTCCGGACCACCTGACCTCTCCACCCACTTTTTTGCTGAGTTTGATGCCACCAAGGATGGGCCCTTCGGCTCCCGAGACTTCTACTACCTTCGGCCACGCTTCAAGAAGGCCTGTCCCTATAGCCATGTCCGGTACAAGTCACAAGCCCAAGGCGGGCCTGCAGCAAGACCTCTGGTGTCCCCAGACCCATCCTCTGATGGTGTCTTCTTCCCCACAGGCTGACAGGCGCAGCCGTGCAGCTGTCATGGGAACTGCAGACTGGCAGTCGGGGCCGACGAGTGACCAGCACAGATGTGCACTTTGGGCAGCTGGAGGTGCTGGAGTGCCTGTGGCCCCAGGGCAGTTCAGAGCCTGAGTACACAGAGGTGAGTGCAGAGGCAAGGCCTGCGGGCTTGGGTGGGAATAGAGGGCAGCCTGACTCTGTTCACCTCCCATATCCCATCCTAGATTCTGAGTTTTCCCAGTAGCCTGGGCTCCCAGGCCTCAGCTCAGCCCTGCGCCCACCTGCGCCACATACAGACTCTGCGCCGCATGCTCAAGGTAACCAGCTCCACTCCAGGCTGAGAGGCTGTTGGCTGCTTCCCATGGCTTGACACCCTGCTCCCCCCACCCCCAGCCTCTGTCAGTGTCTCCCCAGCCCTGGCCTCCTCACCCTGTGCCCCAGCCAGCCTACACCCTGCTGTTCCAAGGGCCCTTGGACCTCCTCCTCTGGGCTGGGTGCCTGCCATTCTCTTAGTCTGGTGGCCTCTTCCCTGTTCTCAGTGGGGCAACCTGCTAGGCCTCTGCGGGTAGGAGGAGCAAATGATAGGTGGCTTTTGTTAACTAAACCAGCATGTCTGCTATATTGGGCAGGGCATCAAATGTCTACCCCAGTCCCCTCTTGGGTCCCCTGTCCAAGCTTTCCCCCCACTACCAGGAGGACTTGGGGTTTGTGTTGAGGAAGCCCTTTCCCATCCTGCCCCCTCCACCCCACAGTGCTATTCTAAACACCTTCACCCCCAAACAGAGCCGGTCCCGGCGTTCTGTTGCCTGCCATTGCCACTCAGACCTGGCCCTGGACCTGGCTGACTTCCAAGCAGATGTGGAGCTGGGGGCCCTGGACCGACTCGTTACCCTGCTGCACCTTGCCACTACACCCCCCCAGCCTCCAGCCAGCCTGCTGGTGAGATGTCCTGCTGGGGCCTGGCTCAGGTGGACAATGGAGCATGGTCCTCTGGCTCTTGACCATAGTGACAGAAGCCTTGGTGGCCCCTCTGACCCCAACCCTTCTGCAGACAGAGCCCCCGTTGGCCACTGAGCAGCAGACAGTGTTTCGGCTCTCAGCACCCCGGGCCACACTGAGGCTGCGCTTCCCCATTGCCGACCTGCGGCCTGAGCGAGACCCCTGGGCAGGAGGCCAAGCTGTGCGGGCCGAGCAGCTGCGGCTAGAGCTGAGTGAGCCCCAGTTCCGGTCAGAGCTCAGCAGTGGGCCTGGTCCCCCAGCCCCTACCCGCCTAGAACTCACTTGCTCTGACTTGCATGGTAAGAGCATCTGGCAGATGGCACCAGGGCAGGGCCCAGGCCTCTGGGGAAGATGGGCTTGGGGGTCACATTTGGAGTAGGTCCAGGCACAGACCTTCACCAGCTCTGTGGGCACCAGCATTGACTAAACTGCCCTCCTGGGCAACAGGTGCGTGGGCTCTTGATCTGTGGGCTGCTGCATGCCATGAGTGTCTGTCTGATGACCCTCACCCCTCCACATCCCTTCCAGCAACCTATGAAGATGGAGAGAAGCCACCCATTCCCTGCCTGCGTGTCTCCAAAGCCCTGGACCCCAAGGGCACTGGGCGCAAGTACTTTCTGCCCCAGTAAGTGGGGACTGTTGAAGGGGTGGCTAAAGAGGAAGATTCTTTGGCTGAGGGGTTGGGAGGCAGGTTCCAGGGGCCCTGCAGGCCAGTGACAGGTCTGTGCCCTGGCAGGATAGTGGTGACCCTGAACCCCCAGTCTGGCAGTGCACAGTGGGAGGCTGCCCCCGAGAAGGCAGAGGACCTGGAGCTGTCCACTGAGAGCCCGTGCGAGCTGCAGGAGCCTGAGCCCTCGCCTTTCTCCTCCAAGAGGACCATGTATGAAACAGAAGAGGTGAAGCCCGACCCCACCCCTTCCCTGGACTGCTCCCCACCTCTGCCATGGGAGCCACCTGTGTGATGGGGCTGGGTGACAGGACCGCCTGGGGTGGGCATGATGTGACCCAATACACCAATACAGGCGTGAGGATTTGGGGCCAGTTAAGGGAGTCTGAAGGCCCCACCTCTGCTCAGGGGTGGGAAGGAAGCCCATTGGCAAGGGCAGCCCCCTGGTGGGGAGGATCAGGACCCCAGCCCAGCACAGCTGTTGACAGTAGTGTACACTTGGGCCTCAGGATCTTTTTCTGAAGTGGATGAGGGCTGAGTGAGAGCAACTGAAGGGCCTGGCCTGTGGGGCCAGAGTGCCTGGGGTAAAGTGTAGGCCCTGCCACTCTGGCTGTGTCACCTTGGGGAGTCGTGCCCCCCCACCAAGTGGGAGTCTCATAGGCCATTGGACGGATTAAAGGAGTTCATGCCCTTAGAGCATGGTTGCCATGCCACCCACGCAGGGTGGGCACACACTCCCAGCAAGTAAGGAAGGGCTCCTATGAAAGAATGAATGAATAAATGAATGAATGATGGGTCAGGACTCAGACACAAGTCTCGCCAGAGTCAGCTGCAGACCCTGAGATATCTGAGACAACTTCCTGCTGAGCTTTTCCCCTTCTGTGTCTAGATGGTAATCCCTGGAGACCCCGAGGAGATGAGGACGTTCCAGCACCGGACCCTGGCACTGTCCCGCTGCAGCCTGGAAGTGACCCTGCCCAGTGCCCATGTCTTCCTGCCCAGTAAAGAGATCTATGAGAGCATCTACAATAGGTGCAGACCCAGGCCGGGTGGGGCTGGGCCAGGGGCCAAGATGTCCCTCCTCACCTTCCATTCACCCTCCCTGTCAGGATCAATAATGACCTGCTCATGTGGGAGCCTGCAGACCTTTTCCCCACTCCCGGTCCTACTACCCGCCCGTCTGGCTTCTCCAGCTCCTCAGGCCTCTGGCACGACAGCTTCAAGATGTGCAAGTCAGCCTTCAAGCTGGGTATGAGGGATGTTCTGTGGGGCCAGAGGGAGGGTGCAGGGCAGGGCTGACCAAGCCTCCCAGGCCCCTCTGCCACTGGCCACCTTGATCTCGCCCCAGACTCAGACTCAGATGACGAGGATATCCACTTCTTCTCAGTGGGGGCATCAGGTGCCCCCCAGGCTCCTGCCCCTGAGCCCCCGAGCCACCAATCCCAGAGCACCTTCTCTACACTGGTAACGGTGCTAAAGGGCAGAATCACAGCTCTCTGTGGGGCTAAGGTGAGAGCATCCCTGGACAGGTGAGCCCCAAGCCCTCTGGACAGGAGAGAGGATAAACATGGCACCTCCAGGGGGGAAGGGGGAAGAGGGAACCCCAAGTGGTTGGCAGCATGCACCTGTCACCTTGACCCACAGGTCCCAGCCCACCTATCCCACTGCACCCAGCAGCTGCTTACTGTCACCCTGCCTTGTGAAGCCCCATGCTGGGTGGCGTGAGAATGGGCCCAAATTGTATCCATGAGGCAGGCCAGGCAGAGATGATTCTCCTTTGGCAAGAGGCAGGTGCTGCCAGGGCCTGTGGAATCTGATGGGTGGTGGGCACTGCCCTGACCGCAGGGCTCTAGGAGATGCCTCATAGAGGGCATGGGACCTGCAGGGAGCAGCAGGTGCAGCCAGGTGTGTGTTCTGTGTGCAGGATGAGAGTGGGAAGCGGCTGGAGGGTGCACACGGTGAGATGGTGCTGGATGTGGAACATGGCACCCTCTTCAGTGTCTCCCAGTACCGTGGCCAGCTGGGCCTCGGCTACTTCTGCCTGGAAGCTGAGAAGGCGACACTCTACCACCGAGGTGTGTGGGCTGGGGCTGGCTGCTGCTGTGTCCCTATGGCTTGAGTGGAGTGGGCAGCCAGTGCCCTGGCAAGGGGCTCACAAGATCCCTCCCCAGCAACCGTGGATGACTACATGATGCCCAGTCACCTGCATCTGCCCAGCTTTGCCCCCCCGGCCCACCTGGCCCCAACCATCTACCCGTCAGAGGAGGGGATGATTGAGCGGGGAGCCTCAGGCCGCAAGGGCCACGGCCACGGTGCCCCAATGCTGACTACTGCAGTGCGGATCCACTTGGACCCCCACAAGAATGTTAAGGTATGGCTTCCCCAGCTTGCCGCCTCTCCGTGTGACTGGGTGGCTGCCTCCTCAGTGGATGTTCACCCTGACTGTCCTCCTACCCCAAGGAGTTCCTGGTGACACTACGGCTACACAAGGCCACGCTGCGCCACTACATGTCCCTGCCTGAACAGAGCTGGCACTCCCAGGTAAACAAAGGTGGCTTGGACCATGGACTTTTGGTTTGGGTGTGAAGGTCAGAGGGGCTGAAGGGGCCTGTGTGAGGAGCAAGGGCTGATCGGAGTGGCCAGCAAGGAACGTGATGGGCAGCACGTGGGGTGCTGGGCTGGGGGAGGAAGGGGCAAGACGATGCCTGTGCTCACTGTCCCCCCACCCCGGGCCCTGAAGCTCTTGGAGTTCTTGGATGTGCTGGATGACCCTGTGCTGGGCTACCTGCCCCCGACAGTCATCACCGTCCTGCACACACACCTGTTCTCCTGTGCTGTGGACTATAGGTACCAGGCTGTGTGGGCCAGTGAGGGGTGGGCCAGGGACAGGGCCTTGGGTGTAAGGAGCTCACACCAGCCCATGTGTGACTCCCCCCCAGACCCCTCTACCTCCCAGTGCGTGTCCTCATTACTGCCGAGACCTTCACGCTCTCCAGCAACATTGTCATGGACACGTCAACCTTCTTGCTCAGGTATGTGGGCTGCTGCTGCCTGCCTACTGCATATCCCAGGCTCTCTGGGGTCTCTCCCTCAGAAATGTACGTTGTTTCCACTTGCTTTGAGGAGACCAGGACACCTCAAATCAACCTTCAAAGCATCTGTGAGCTGTGACCTGGTAATCTCACTTCTTGAGGTTGCCCTGAGGACGTCAGGAAAAGAGTAGACTGTCTCTAGTACAATTAGCACAGTGCAAACTAGGACAGGTGTAGAGGTTAGTGGTAGAGCATGTTTCAGCCTTTGTGAGGCCCTGGGTTCAATCCTCAGCACCCCAAAAAATTAAAGTCCAAACTTAGCAACAGTCTAAATGCCCCCAAATCACCCCGAGTAATAGTCATGCCGGCACTGCTGGGTGGGACATGGAGTTGAGGAATAACATGGAGGGGGGCATAAAAACAATTAAGATGTGTCAAGTACATAGGAATGTAGTCATTATGTACTGCAAACATGCACTCATAAATATAAGTAGTTAGGGGCCAGGGATTTAACTCAGTGGTTCTGCTGCCTGCCTTGCAATCACAAGGTCTTGAGTTTGATCCCCGGTACCAAACAAAAACAACAAAAAAAATATAAGTAGTTAGCTGCCTGAGATTAAAAAAAACAACATTGAGGGCTGGGGATTTAGCTCAGTGGTGCCGCCGCCTGCCCCGCAAATGCAAGAAAACAAAAAGAACAGCATTGAAAAATATTTTTAAATGCATTAAAAGATATGGTTATGGGCCAGGGATTTAGCTCAGCGGTTTCCGTTGCCTGCCTTGCAAGTGCAAGGACCCGAGTTCTATCCCCGGTACCAAAAAAAAAAAAAAAAGATATGGTTATGAGGGAGTGTGTGTGTATACACACATGCATGTGCTCACATAGAAAAGACTAGAAAGAATGACTGGCATGGTGGCACACTTCTGTAATCCCAGAATTTGAGAGGCTGAGGCTGGAGGATTGAAAGTTCAAGGTCAGCCTGGACTACATAGCGATGTCCTGTCTCCAAAAGAAAAAAACTAGAAAGAGGCATGTGTGATTTTCTCAGAATTTGAGATTTGAGATTATGAGTGACTTTAATGTTTTATTGTTATTGTAGTACTAATCCAGGCAGAGTGGTACATGCCTGTAGTCTCAGCACCACCGTGGAAGGCTGAGGCAGGAGGATTGTAAGTTCAAGCCCAGCCTGGCCAGCTTAGTGACTTAGTAAGACCCTGTCTCAAAATAAAAATTGTTTAAAAACTGGGAATGTAGCTCAGTGCCAAGGGCCTGAGTTCAGTCTCCCTTACTACAAAACAAAACTAGACAAATGGGTTTAAAAGAACAGTAAGTAAATGCTGCTCTAGGGAAACCTCCTCCCACAAGTTTGTGAGACCTAATAGCTGGTGGAGCCCAAAGTGTTTAGAGAACCAAGAGCCTCGCCGTGTAATTGAGCAAGTACCTGTTGCCTGGGTCTGCTACTTTGCCCACAGTACAGGCAAGACCACCAAGCCAAGAGGTCTCCCCCTAGTAGGGCTTCTGTGGGCTTGGGTCCCCCTGCTTTTCCAGGTGCTCCCTTGCCCAGCCTGGCTGCCGTGGAGCTGCCACCTGCAGTGGCTCCCGGGCCCTTCTCAGCCCTGTTCCCCACCAGGTTCATCCTCGATGACTCCGCTTTGTACCTGTCCGACAAGTGTGAGGTGGAGACCTTGGATCTGCAGCGAGGTGGGCAGGGCCTGGACTGGGCTTCCAGTGCTCCAGTGGGGCACAGCCCTGCCACAGCTACCCAGAGAACGTGGCCTCATGTCCTCCCCAACTACTGGCCCGGGTCTCAGTTCCCCCCACATACACACATCCCGACCCATACCTGGACACCCCCAACCTCTCCCTGGGTGGTGGACACAGGCCGGGCAGGGGCTGGGCATAAGGCGGCAATGGGAGCCTTCTTCTGCCTTCTGCCTCAGATTATGTCTGTGTCCTGGACGTTGATCTCCTGGAGCTGGTGATCAAAACCTGGAAGGGGAGCACAGAGGGCAAACTGGTGCGTGTGGCCGGCACTGGGCCAGGGAGCCTGGTATGGAGGGGTATCTGGGTGCTGGTCTTTCCCCTGCTGGGTGGCATGAGTGCCCTGTCTGCTTATTGGATTAGAGTTTCCACCTTACCACCAGAGGGCAGCTGCAGGCAGGGCAGAGCAGGGCCTCAGGAGTGTGCCGGCATCTGGGCCTACAGTTTCCCCATTCTATAAATGAGGCAACAGGCCCCACCTCAGTGGCCAAAGGAGACTCCATGGGTGCCCAGGGTGGGTCCCTCAGTCAAGCCCTTTTCACTCTGGGCTCAGTTTGCACATCTGTGTAGTGCGGATACCGGGCAGGCACATCCCGCAAAGGCAGACCTGGTCCGCCTGTCCTCCCGAGTGGTGGCCAAGGGACGGTGGGCCTGCACTGACCCCATCCCCACTCCACTGCAGAGCCAGCCGCTGTTTGAGCTTCGCTGCTCCAACAACGTGGTGCATGTGCACAGCTGTGCCGACGCCTGTGCCCTACTGGCCAACCTGCTCCAGTACGTAACGAGTGCAGGCGACCTGCACCCCCCGCCCCGGCCCCCCAGCCCCACGGAGATCGCCGGCCAGAAGGTACAGGTGAGGCCTGGCTGTACAGGCTACCAGAGCTCTGCCAGGCCCCTCCCCTGCACAGCCCTCAGGGCCTGTGGTTGGGGGAGCCTTGGGGCCAGCGTCCCCAGGGCATGAACTTATCACTCTTCTGCCCTTGCCCAGCTCTCTGAGAGCCCTGCCTCCTTGCCTTCCTGCCCCCCGGCGGAGACAGCCCTCATCAACCAGCGGGATCTGACCGACGCACTCCTGGACACAGAGCGCAGCCTGCGGGAGCTGACGCAGTCTTCAGGTGGGGTGGGAGCACTTTGGGGACAGCTGACACAGGCTCCCAAAGAGCGTCTCCCCAAACTGGGCTCTCTCTCCCATAGGCGCCCCACTCCCTCAGGCCTCGCCCGTCTCTGTCTACCTGTTCCCCGGTGAAAGGAGTGGAGCCCAGCCCCCTTCTCCCCCTCCTGGGGGCCCTGCTGACAGCTTAGGGTCCTGCTCCGAGGCCACTGACGGTGACAAGGAAGAGGAGGGGGACGGAGACACTCTGGACAGTGATGAGTTCTGCATCCTGGACGCTCCTGGCCTGGGCATCCCGGTGCGTGGCGCAGGGGCTGGCTCAGTTCCTGCCTTCCAGGTGCGGGCTGGGGTAGGGAGCCAGGATGCTCCCGTGGTTGCTCAGCCCTTCTAGGGCTCCCACTCCAAGAGAAGCAAGGTGGGGCAGCCTCAGCACTGGACTTTGGAGGAGTTGGGGGGGTTTCCAGAGGAAGAGGCTGGCATCTTGAACAGAAACCCTGGGATAGCTAAAGGGATAGAGGAAGGGAGAGGGGTCCCAGGGAGCCAGGGCTGGCAGGAGCAGGGGGCTTTGACCACTGACACAGCTTCTAGGGATGGTAGCATAAGAGGGCCATCTTCTGTCAAACACCACATGGAGAGGAAGAGGTAAGAATGGGAGAAGCAGGAGCTAGGACTGGGAGCTGGGCTGAGACCTCCTCCGTGCCACACATCTTTACATCTTTACATGGCCTCCTGCTGGCAGCCCCGAGACGGAGAGCCTGTGGTGACCCAGCTGCACCCAGGCCCCATCATCGTGCAGGACGGATACTTCTCCCGGCCACTGGGCAGCACAGACCTACTGCGGGCGCCTGCCCACTTCCCAGTACCCAGCAGTCGCGTGGTGCTACGTGAGGTCTCCCTGGTCTGGCACCTCTATGGAGGCCGAGACTTTGGCCCCCACCCAGGCCACAGGTGAGGTGGAAAGGGGGCTACAGGCAGCAGCTGGTGGAGGCTGGGGCCTGGGCAGCCTGTGACCTTAAGCATCACGCACCCCTTGCTGGCTTCAGTTTTCCTTCCTTGCCCTACCTGCCTCCTAGGACTGATGCTAGAAAAGGTCCTTAGCCCTAGACCAAAAGGCCTGCTGAGGTGGGGGCAGTACAGGGGGTTCGTCTGACCATTTTGTCCCCATCCCTCTTCCTAGAGCAAGAGTTGGCCTCACAGGTCCTAAGGGCTCCCCTTCCCGCTGCTCTGGCTCCAACCGGCCCCAGAACTCATGGCGAACACAGGGTGGCAGTGGGCGGCAGCACCAAGTCCTCATGGAGATCCACCTCAGCAAGGTGAGGGCCTGTGTGGTCATGGGAGCCATATATTGCCCTGGCAACATCCACAACAGAGGGGAGAGCTGGGCAGAACCCAATACAGTGGCCCTTGAGTGGCCAGTGGTGGGAAGCAGTCAGGAGGCCGCAAGGCAGTTTGGATCTTGGTAGAGTGAGGTGGGAGCCCCTGGGGGCTGGAGAGCTTGTGTCAGCGCAAGACAGTGGACAGTGAGAAGGGGCAGGTGCTGGAGGCACTGGACAGAAGGGAGATCCACAAGTTTGGTTCTACCGTGAGTGAGATGGAGGCCTGCAATGGGCTTTGGCCTAAGAAAGTTGCACAGGGCCCTGGGATTTAGCTCAGTGGTTCCACCGCCTGCCTCACAAACCCAAGGAGACCCAAGTTCAATCCCCGGTACCACAAAAAAAAAAAAAAAAAATGCTATAGCTAGGGATTTAGCTCAGTGGTTCTGGCGCCTGCCTTGCAAGCTCAAGGTTCCGAGTTTGATCTCCAGTACCAGAAAGTTGTACAGGGGAGGTCCCACTTTCTGAGCATGCTGCAGGCCAGTGCTGGGCTCCCTAAGGAACTCCTAGAGCCAAGCGACAGTACACAGGGCTGTTGGGAGCAGCAGGAGCCACTCTGAGCAGGGGCTGGGGCCTGAGACCTGGCAGGAGCCAACACCTGCCCAGGAGGAGAGGGAAGGATCGCTGCAGAGGGGCGCAGGGCAAAGGCCTGAGGATGAGAGAGCCATGCTGAGCAAGGCCAGGGGCTGGGCCGCAGGGAGAGTCGGCCTGCAGGGGACCCCTCAGTGCGTGGAGAATGTATTGAAACAGGGAGAAGTACTATAGCCCAAGATGGTGGCATGGGGGCAGCCTTGATGAGGGCAGGCTGGAGCTTCTGATGACAGGACGGGTTGGGGCCACTTTGGCAAGGCAAAGACTGGGAATGGGGGCTGACAGATGTGGGGAAGCAGGTCCAGTCTGGCACGATCAAGCGGTTTGATGGTGGGACAGCCACATGGAGAGGTCTAGGCAGCAGCCAGGTGTGGGGCTGAGGTGGGGATGGGATGAGGAGAGTTGGACCTTCCCTCCCTCCCTCCATCCCCATGTCCCTGTGGCCACCTCAGGCCTCAGTCTGGTCCTCCCTCCACAGGTGAGCTTCCAGCACGAGGTATACCCAGAGGAGCCAGCTGCTGACTCCACTCCAGGCCAGGAGGTGGAGGAGCGGCCACTGTCTCGCCAGGTGCTCATTGTGCAGGAGCTGGAGATCCGCGACCGGCTTGCCTCCTCCCAGATCAACAAGTTTCTGCACTTGCACACGAGTGAGCGGCTGCCGCGGCGCACCCACTCCAACATGGTGCGCGAGTGGGCCAGGGTTCCACACATGCGCGTGGGTGTGGTCATCACTGGGGCAGGCTAGGAGGGAACAGCATGGGCAGAGGTAGCCTGAGCAGGCGGGATCGTCACCCACACCCGGCCCTCTGCCCTCAGCTCACCATCAAAGCTCTGCACGTAGCCCCCATCAGCAACCTGGGCGGCCCCGAGTGCTGTCTTCGCGTCTCGCTGATGCCTTTGCGGCTCAATGTGGACCAGGCAAGTGGGCTGGGAGGTACAGAGCTGGTTGTGACACACACGCAGTCCCTAGGCCTCCTGACCCTGTTCCTTGGATTCTTCCCTGCAGGATGCCCTCTTTTTCCTCAAGGACTTCTTCAGCAGCCTGGTTGCTGGCATCAACCCAGTAGTCCCAGGGGAAACCTCTGAGGGTGAGAGGCTGGGCCAGGGAGGGGAAATCAGGCATCCAGGCAGCCCTGGCCCTGTCCCCAATCTGACAACTCTTTCCCTAGTTCACCCTGAGACCTGGGGCCCCCAGGAAGCACAGCCCAAGGGCCCAGAGATGAGTGACTTGAAGGAGGGCCCCAGTGGTGGACACAGCCCTGCTGAGCCCCAGCCCATCTACTTCAGGTAGGGCTGGGGGTTGGGGACTGAGGCCAGGGTGCAGGTGACCAGGTCCCTGACCAAAAGTCCCCTGCCCCACCAGGGAGTTCCGCTTCACGTCCGAGGTGCCCATCTGTCTGGATTACCACGGCAAGCACATCTCCATGGACCAGGTGGTAAGCTTCGGGGCCACCCTCTCTGAGGACAGGGCTTGCCCTGGTCTCCAGTGCCTGTGTCCCATCACGAAGCCAAACCCTTCCCTCCCCAGGGCACCTTCGCAGGCCTCCTCATCGGCCTAGCCCAGCTCAACTGCTCCGAGTTGAAGCTAAAGCGGCTCTGTTGCCGACATGGGTGAGTCCCTCATGCCCTGCCTCTGCACAGCCCTGACCTTCACTGGTTGTGTGACCCAAGTCATCAGCCCCTTCAGGGCCTCAGTTTCCCCTCTGTAAAATCGGCACAGTCACTTCTCTGCAGCCAGCCAGGTGGGACTGTGGGGAGTATTGGGTGCCCTAGCACTTGGCACACAGGTACTCTGCTCCTGGTCCCTGCCTCTCCATGTGCAGCCCTCCCCCACCTCCCTTCTCATTCCACTCTCCCAGGCTCCTAGGTGTGGACAAAGTGCTGGGCTATGCTCTCAATGAGTGGCTGCAGGACATTCGCAAGAACCAGCTGTCTGGCCTGCTGGGGGGCATCGGGCCCATGCACTCTGTCATCCAGCTCTGTGAGTGTTTCAGTTTGAAGTCTCTTGAAACTGCCATTCCACTTGGGCCACCTAGAAACTGCCACTGGGAAAGGAGCAGGCAGATGGGCCAGGCAGGGTGGATGGGGGCAGGGCAGCTTCTGGCATCTCTGACAGCCCTGTCCCTCCAGTCCAAGGGTTTCGGGACCTGCTGTGGCTGCCCATCGAGCAGTACAGGAAGGACGGGCGCCTCATGCGGGGGCTGCAGCGTGGGGCCGCGTCCTTCGGCTCATCCACGGCCTCTGCTGCCCTGGAACTGAGCAACAGGCTGGTGCAGGCTATCCAGGTAAGTGGGGGCATAGGGCAGGGAGGGGGTGGATCTGTCTGTCCTCCAAGCTCTGTTGAGACCAGGTAGGCTGGTGGTAGCAGCCTCATTTTGTAGAGAAACTATCAAGGAGAGGAAAGGCCCAGGGGCCTTGTCCAGGGCCCCTTGGCTCTGAGGCTCACCACTCATGGCTGTATGAGCCAGAGGCAGGAGGGGCTGAGGGGTGATGTTTTCAAAGAAATAGAGGCCCAGAGAGCTTGATTCATTGAGGCCACACCCAGAGGGTCCCATCCCTGCCAGAGCTTTTTGGGTGGGAGACTCCTTGAGCAGCTGTGGTGGAGTGAGGGCCTCTGGGCTGGAGAGGCTGGTGGGGCAGCTGCAAGCTCAGGTTGGGGAGGAAGGTCTGGCCCAGGAGGCTGGAGAGATAGGCACTGTGGCCCCCTGTCAGGGGAGAGAGGCAGGGTGGGGAGCAAGAACGGGGGCGCCACTGGGGGAAGCAAGGTGGGGCTGAGCAGTGGCTCCCAAGTGGACGGGTGTCCCCTCTGGGGCCACCCCCAGAGCCCGCTGCACAGTGGTCCCAGGGAAGCAGCATTGGTGGCAGCCACGAGGAGCCTGCTGTGGCGTGGGGGTCAGCGGAAGGAAGGGCTGGAGATTGAGACGAGAGGAAAGTCCCCTTGGGCTGTGCCCTGCCTGGGTGATGGGAGCCGGGAAGGTAGAGGGAAATGGGGGACAAGGCCAAGGGATGCCAAGGTCCCTGCTGCCTGGTGGGGCCTGGGGGCCAGATGCGTGTGCCTGGTCATCTCCTCATGCAGCTGTCCATGTTCTTCAGGCTACTGCTGAGACGGTTTATGACATCCTGTCCCCAGTGGCACCTGTGTCCCGCTCGCTGCAGGACAAGCGCTCTGCACGGAGGCTGCGCAAGGGCCAGCAGCCTGCTGACCTCCGAGAGGGCGTGGCCAAAGCCTACGATGCAGTGCGGGAGGTGAGGGGCCCCCAGCCCTGCTCTTGTCCTCCCCCTGCACCCCCACTCAGGCCCCAGCACTGACCTCTGACCTCCGCAGGGCATCCTGGACACAGCTCAGACCATCTGTGATGTGGCGTCGCGTGGTCATGAACAGAAGGGGCTGACGGGTGCTGTGGGGGGTGTGATCCGCCAGCTGCCCCCGACCGTGGTGAAGCCGCTCATTGTGGCCACTGAGGCCACATCCAATCTGCTTGGGGGGATGCGCAACCAGATCCTGCCTGATGCCCACAAGGACCATGCCCTCAAGTGGCGCTCGGAGGAGGCCCAGGACTGACAAGGGCTCCAGGACCCAGGGCCACCCTGCTGGCCCACCCCAGGGGTGCCACCCGCTCTCAGCCTCCTGAGAGCAGCAACCCACAGGGGCCGGATGAAGGCCCCTCTGGGGACGGCCACTGTGAAGGACGCCTGCCCATTGCTAATCGGTTGGGAGAGTGGGGCCTCGGCCCTGTCCGCACTTTTCTTCCAGGGAGGACACTGCCCTCCCCTCCACCTAGGCCTCACTGCTGCCTTGACCCAGGACGGAGGCTTTCGGACCCTCAGACCCGACCCCACTGAGCCAAGTGTCTGTGTCTCGTGGGGAGGTGGGGACAGACGCCGTGAGGAGCGGTGTGTTATTTTTAAACAACTTGAGTGTGTGGGTCAGTGTCTGCATGAAGTGGAATAAACTGACCACCACCGGCCCCTTGCACGGGTCCTGTGTGCCTACAAAGCTCCTGCCTCTGCACACAGCACCTCCCTGTTGCTGCCTGGGTACAAAACACCGTCCCAGCCACCTGCCCACACCTTCTGTTCTGGGCTCCACCCTGGAGGGTGCTCCTAGGGGGCTGTCACCCTGGTCCCACTTCTGAGTGGCAGGAGCTGAATGCAGCTGGGAGGAGCCTCACCCGTGGCCCTTGGAGCCGCCTCACCGGCCATATTGCTTGGCTGTATCCTGTAAGACCACAGGGTCCAGGTCTGCCCTTGTGCAACCAGAGGCTACACCCTGGGTCTGAGCCTTACTTCCTGGGGGTCCCTGCTAGCTAAATGAGGGTCCAGGCTGTCACTAAGGCTTTTCCCTGAAGGTTGAGCTCTGGGCTGCTCGTACCATCCCTAGCAGAAACCTTTTGGGTTGAGGGGGGAGGGTGCTGGCGCCAGAAGATCCTGAGTGGTCCTTGCCCAAGAGGGTTCCATGGGGTCAGGAAAGTGCCTGTTGCCCCTATCACATCTTGTTTCCTGTGAACAAGGAAGAGAGAGCCCTCCACTCCCCACTCCCCACTCCCTCTGTAGTAGTACTCCAGAGTTGGGTGGTCCTCTGGGGAAACTGAGGCCACATTAGGAGAGAGCCTACTCCTAACACTTGCCCCTCTGTAGACCTCTGAAGCTAGAAAACCGCTCAAGCTCCCAGGTCCTGTGTGCCTGTACAGTCCCTTCCTGACCCCACCTCTGCAGATAGGGAGATCTTTGGGGAAGATGTGGGTACCACGAACAGGGCAGAAGCTGTCCTGGGGGACCCCAGGTACTGGCTGCCCATGGCTACCTGGAGCTGTAGACCAAGCAGTCAAGGGGGATGGGGCCCGGAAGGAGATAGCTGCAGCCAGCCCAGGTATGATGCCACCAGGGGAGGCAGATGGGCCCAGCCTGATGCTTCCTGGACCCACCCCAGCTGCCCGGGCACAGTCCAGCTTTCCTGCCCTTCGAACTGCACTTGTGATCAGTATTGATGGCCAACGGCTAATGATTAACCACTACAAGGGGCTGGGCCAACGGCTCAAAAATCCTGAGCCCAGGGCATCCCCACTTCCTCCTTGTGCCCTGAGGCCAGCCAAACACACAGGTAAGAGACCTCTGGACGTGCTCTGCAGCCCCCTGTACCCCAAGTGCTCTGGAGCGCAGGCATCTTCCTGCAGGGCCACTAGCCTTTCTGAGCAAGAAGGGACAGGACATGGGTGACCCTAGGCCAGCCCTTTCTGCTGTGTCCACCTTGGGATAAGAGGACCATAGTGTCACCTCTTGAGTGCTGCCTGGTGTTGTGGGCCCAGCACTCGTGATCAGATGCTGTGTCCGCCAGGCCAGGCACAGGAGCCCACGAGGCAGGAGGCTGGTCTTGCCCAGGCTTGGGAGGGCTGCTGGGCTTGTGGGATGTCTGGTCACCAGCTCTGGTATCTTTTTCCCATTTGAGACCAGGTTTTGCTATATAGTCCAGGGTTCCATTGGCTGGCCTTGAACTCGCAATCCTCCTATCTTAGTCTCCCAAGTACTGGGATTACTGGCATTTGCATCCACACCCAGCTCTGGCCTCTTCATTCACAAGCCCCTCCTTCGAGGCAGAAGGAATTCCACCCAGGTGCCCCCAGCCTACTTCAGCAGCATCCCAAGAATGAGACACCACTCCGGAGGGTTTGTTGGGCGGCACCAACACAAGGGCCTGTGACCCTGGGCAGCTTTCTCTGCCTCTCTAGGCCTTTTCCACCCTGTTCAGAGGGGGTCATGGCCCATGTCTAGTCTAGAAGCTTCCTTTTCTTTTGGAAATCCCCACTGGGTCCTGGCAGGACAGACACCAGCACCTGTCTCTGAAGCCTCTTAGGCTGGAGCTGGTGGGAGGGGATGAAAGTGCCCTTGCAGTAGGTCCACTCCCTGCCCTGTGCCCAGCTGTCTTGGCTAGCAGCTCCTTGCCCGTCCCCACAGCAGGAACAGATGGGGCCTGTCAGACCAGGCAAGGGTGCAGATTGGCCTCAGAAGCCCTGGTGTGCACAGGAGGAACCAGCAGTGGTTCAGAGAGGTTCAGCTGCTGGCTCGAAGACCTCAGTGTTCTAGATGGGCAGTGGCTCACTGCCCTGTTCTTAGCACTCACTGACAGCTGTGGCCATCTGCATTTTTTCCTTCATTTTTTAAAAAATTTATTGCAGTGCTAGAGATAGAACCCAGGGACTTGTGCATGCTAGGCAAGGGCTCTACCACTGTGTCACACCAGCCTGTAGCATCGTCTCAAATCTGTCCTCCTCTTCCCTTCTCCACCTCTCTCTGTTTCTGGGATCCTTTTCCTGTTCTCTGCCCACTCCTTGCATTCTTTTCTCTCTGGGACCCTCTGCCTCACAGCTCTTCTTTCTCTGTCCCTTCCTGCCCCCTGCCTGCTTCTCTTCTGTCCAGGTTCCTAGACAGTGCCATCCTCATGAAAGTGGGCATTCGATGGCACCTGGAGAATGACAGGTGCCCAGCTGTCCCTTTCTGTCCCCCCTCTCCATGGCTGCAGCAGGGAGGGAGGGCTAAGGGCCAAGGGCGGAGGCCACACCAGCCAAGTCTGCCAGGGCCCAGCTCTTTCTCACTGGGAGAGAAAAGAGGAAATAAAAGGATGGGCGGGCAGGAGTGCATGCGGTACTGAGTGGGGAAAGGCTGCCTCGGCGTTGTAAAAGGAGCCGCTCCCGGCTTTATGAGGCAGCTCTGGGCTTGAGCCTGGACTTCGCCCAGGAGGGTGGTGGCACCAGATGGGGCACCAGGTGTGGGCCCCCTATGATAAGGAGCCTCAAGGAAGACGGGACCTGGGGCCAGCGGACAACTGCAGGGTGCTCCCCAGAGTCCTGCTTGAGGGTTGGTGCCAGGCCAGCAGGGCCCAACCGCCAGTGGGCTCCCACCTCCTGTAACAGCAACTCCATGTGGAAGTGCTCGCTGGTTCCAGTGGGGCTGCTGTTATCTGGGGTGGGGGCCAGAATCCACAGAGGAGAAGAGGCAGTGGCCACACAGCAAGCCAGCAAGGACCTCCACGGTGATGTCCCCAGGCCCAGGATGGCAAAGGGTGGCAGGCTGCCAAGACCGAGTGCACAGGGCTCTGACCTATGAATTGACAGCCAGTGCTCTCGGCTCCTCTCTGGCTGCCAATTCCATAGGTCACAGGTATGTTCGCCTCAATGCCAGCTGCCAGGACCTGCAGGGGCAGGGCAGGGGCAGGGTGGGGGTGTCCAGTGGTCAACAAACACCTTGCCCCAACACAGCACTCAAGGCTCGTCTCCCCTTCCCACCTTCCCATTTCTCCTTTTGTGAGCCTGACCTGACTTTGTATTTTTTTTTGAGACAGGGTCTCGCTATGTAGTTCAGCCTAGTCTTGAACTCGCTATGTAGCCCAGGATGGCCTCAAACTCATGGCAATCCTGCCTCAGCTTCCCCAGTGCTGAGATTACAGGTGTGCACCACCACACCTAGCCTGACCTGCCTTTGTGCTCTGCCTGTGCTGTTCCCTTCTGTCCCACAGGCTTCCTAGCTTTATGGCCAGGCTCACTCTTCCCATTGCTGCCTCCCAGACAGGCTTCATTTGTTTTTGGAGTTTTGGTTTGCAGTACTGGTGATTGAAATCAGGCCCTTTTTTTTTTTTTGGTACCAGGGATCGAACTTGGGTCTTGTGCCTATACGAAACCACTGAGCTAAATCCCCAGCCCCTCCAGGCCCTTTTTATATTTTTTATATTATTTCTATTTTGGGGGTTTTTTTGGTACCGGGGATTGAACTCAGGGCCTTGCACTTGCAAGGCAGGTGCCCGAACCACTGAGCTAAATCCCTGGCTATAGTTTGGTTTTTTGAGACAGGGTCTTGCTATGTAGATCAGGCTGCCCTTGAACTCACTAAGTACCGCAGGCTGGTCTCAAACTCGAACTGATCCTCCTGCCTCAAGTGCTGACATTACAGGTATGTGCCACCACGCCCAGCTGTATTATTTTAAGACATGGTCTCTTTAAATTGTTAAATTGCTCAGGCTGGGCTTGAACTTGCAATCCTCCTCCCTCAGCCTCCCCAGCCTTAGGATTTAGGCAAGGGCCACCATGCCCAGCTACCAGAAAGCCTTGAAGCACTTGATCCTCAAGGCCACCTGAGCACCCCAAATTCCCATACTTCCCTTGAGCCCCTCATAGGGCCTGGTATGGTGTGGACTTGTTTCCACCATCCCAGCCACCCATGAGCTTGGTGCCCCCTGGAAGAGCCAGGTGTGCGCTCAAGGAACTTTGCTGAGCAGATCCCCAGCCTGGCTTCTGCCACAGGAAGCACTCCTCACCATGTTCAGTGTGGCCTTGTGGGGCAGGCTTTGACACCCCTACCAAGGACCAGGACCTGAGCCGGCCTCCTTCCGAGGGCCCCTCTCACCTCTCTCCTGCCAGCTTCATCTCCCCGGGGTGAAATCTTGTCCCTGACTCCTCTGGGGTTCTAAGTGCTGGGGTTCTAAGTGACGGTGGGGGAGCGGAGCAGAGGACAGGCCTGCCTACCCCTGCCTCCCGCCCATGAGAGCCACATTCCCACCCTTTGTTTCTACAGTGGGATTCCAGGCTAATTGCCATGTTAAATAAAAAAGATTTCTGCCGCTAAAAAATAAAAGTTTTAAAAACTGCTCGATAACAGGAATGAACGATCAAGCCCTTTTTGTGTGCTGGGCACTGGCGCCCATCACTTGGGGTCCTTCTGGCATCCCTTCAAGAAAACTTGTGAGCCTGCTTCAGGCTTGAGGGGACAGGCCCGCCAGGGTGGACACTGGCTAAAGTCAAGAGCAAGTGGGACCTGCTCCCTCCAAGGACCCTCTGCGGCAGCCAATGACTGACCCCTGCTTGGTCCTTTACCATGAGTAGCTTCACTTCTGCAGCTTAGAATCCCTGCGCCCCATCTGCCCTGCTGAGGCCCAGCTTAGACACCGTCACCCACAGAGCCCCCCACAATCCCACAGGGCCTGTCTCTACCAGCAGCCGGCTCTTTGGGCCGCTCCCACATCCTTATCTCCCTCCCTGCAGAGCTAAGGAGTTCTGTGCACTTATCTTATCCCGTGCTAGTCTCAGACTCCTTGAGTGCAAAGTCCACCACTTACTCATCCTCTGGGGCCTGGCTCCCCACCCACCACATAGTAAGTGTTCATGGAACACTTACTTGTACTCTGAACTTTCTGCAGGTGTGGGGCCCCAGGCCTGATGCACTGGTTTGGGACTGAAAGGGATGGCAGGCAGTCCCTGGCCCTGGGTTTCCTCCTCCACCTTCCTCTACCCAACTTTCTGGTCCCACAAAGCCTCTGGCCTGGGGGCAAAGCCAGATACAACTCCCCGGGACCTGGCCCAGTGACCTTTACTAACCTCTTGCCTTTCCCCAATGGCCCTGGGCCTGTGCATCTCTTCCCTCACCTGCCCACCCCCTAGGCTCCCTGAGACCTGCCCAAGGGTCATTCCCTCTCACTGGCTCCCATGATGCTCTGTGGTCTCTAGTAGCACATGTTGGGACCCATCAACAAGCTGTAGACTCCTGGCAGTGGCAGTCACAGCCTCTTTGTTTCCTGTGGTCTTGGACACTGCACAGAAGAGCCTAATAAATGCGCCCTGGAGGATGGGCCACACTTGTGAACAGAGATCCCTCAGGGAGGCATCAGGACCTGGTGGTGTGGTCAGCACAGTGTGGGTGGGTGGGTGGGGACAGATGCCAGCTGTTGCCACCATTGTCATCGAGGCACATTTGTGAAACAATGACACAGAGGTGAATTTGAGTTCCACCTGCTTCTTAAAAGGCCCAGAGGCAAGGTGAGGCCACAGTCTTTTGGCCTAGATCAAGAAAGATTTCAGAGATCCTGCGCGGGGGTGGGGGAGTGGGGAAGTGGTGTCCAAGCCTGCAATTCCAGCTCGTGGAGCAGCTGAGGCAGGCGGATCACAAGTTTGAGTCCAACTTGGGCAACTTAGTGACTTAAAGTGTTTCAATATAAAAAATAATAATAAAGGGCTGGGGAGGTCCCTCAGTGCAAAGTGTCACACGCGAGTCCACACACACACGTGCACGCAGAGAAGTCCTGAGAGAGGTGAACTAGAGCTCAGCATTTGCTACAGCGAAGCCTGGAAATAAACCATAAGCAAGAAGATACAGAATGCAGAAAGTGGACAGGCAGGGTAGCACTGGCGGGGCGGAAAGGTGGAGCTCGCTCTCCTACAACTCTCCCTGCTCTCGCCGCCAGGGGGCGCGCTGGGTAGCCCTCTCCCCGTCCCCGTCCCGTTCCCCCTACCCCTGCTCTGCTTGAGCAGCACCTGGTGTCCCCCCCAGGGATTCTCCATTCATTGCCAGTGTCCCTGTGTAACAGCCACTCTAGCGGCGAAAGGACATCCTGGCCCTGCAGGACCCCCAAATGTGTCCTCACAGGCTTCCAGGTCAGCACAATCCTGCCATCATGACACAATGACCGCTCCCTTCCAGTCTCAGGTTAACTCCCAGCTCTGCAGCCCCAAACACTTTACTTCCTTTTTGCCTGTTTTTGTTGGGTTTTTTTCTTTTCTTTTCTTTTCTTTTTTTCAGAATTGAGGATTGAACCCAGGGCCTCTGTACTGAACCACATCAACTTTTTTTTTTTTTTCCCGTACCAAGGATCAAGTTCAGGACCTTGCAACAGCAAGGAATTGCTGCCTGGAATTGCCAGGCAGGTGCAGCACCACTAAGCTAAATCCCTGGCCCCTCAGCTCTTTTTTTATTTTTGACTTGATACAGGGTCTCTCTATGTTGCTACATAGCCCAGGTTGGGCTTTAAACTTGCAGTGCTCCTGCCTTAGCCTCCCAGGGTGCTGGGATTACAAATGGGACTGCTCTGTCCTGCTGGTTCCCCCACCATGGGGCCCTGGAGCCCTAGTGCCTACACTTCCAGTCATTACTGTAGAGTTCGTTGCAGGAATAGGAGACAATTTACTTTTTCCTTTTTACAAGGGTGTCCCTCCCCAGGATTACCAGGAGCGAAGCTGCAGGGAGTATTGCAATGCACAGGGATTCCAGCTCTCCCCTTCTCAGGGCACTGCTGGGTCACTGGGCAGCAGATGGGATGCTGGTCAGACCACGTGGGGCCTGCAGGAGGGATACAGGCCTTTGTGTTTTTCTTTAAGACAATTGTGAGGGCCAGGGATTTAGCTCAGTGGTTTCACTGCCTGCAGGCTCAAGGACCTGAGTTCGATCCCTGGTACAAAAAAAAAAAAAAAAAAAAAAGACAATTGTGAAACTTTCTGAAAAGTTGCAAAAAACATACAATCAACATCCATATATATATAACCTTTACTCACACCCATCAATAGTTAACATTTTTAGCAGGGTATGGTGGTGCATGCCTGTAATCTCAGAACTGCGGAGGGTGAGGTAGTAGGATCAATCAATTTGAGTTTGAGGCCACCCTGGGCTACATAGTGAGTTCAAGGCCACCCTAGAATACAAAGTGAGACCCTGTCTCAAACAGACAAACAAACAAACACAAATAGTTAACATTTTTTTCATAATACTTGCTTCCTTTCTCTCACTTTCCCCCACACATTTTTTTCTTTTTACATATTTTTTTCTGAATCATTGGAGAGTAAGTTACATACATAGATAGTGACCCTTCACCCTTAAATGTTTCAACACATAGCTCCTTTTAAAAAAATGACATCTCTTACATAAGTATAAAAATTACCAAATTTAGGCCCACAACAGTGAGGCAACGCTGGTCTCAAACGTGCAGTCCACCAAGTGTCCCCATCAACTGAGGTGTGTATGTCTGTGTGTGTGGTGCTGGGGAGGGACCCCAAGCCTTGGGCATGCCGGGTAAGCCCTCTACCACTGAGCTACACCGCCAGCCTCATCTTGGTATTTTCGAAGAGTCCAAGTCATTTATTTTGTGAAATGCCCCTCCTTGTCTGCCCCCTTTCTCTTCTAACTACAAGAAGGGAAATATGTCCATTATATAAAATTTAGACTACAGGAAAGTAAAGCAAAAGTGCCCCAGCTCCTTTGATGCAGGCATGGCCCTAAAGATATTTCGGGAACCACTCAGGAGTCTGACTTTGCTGCTCTGGGCACCTTAACCCACTGAGCCCAGAAGGAAGGTGCCATTGTTATGGCTCACTTTGTTTTTGGTTTTTGGTATTGGGAATCAAACTCAGGGCCTCGAACTTTCTGGGCAGGGACTGTGCCGCTGAGCTACATCCCTGGCCCTGTCGTGGCTCACTTTGTAGCCGGTCTCAGACACCTTAACTGACTTGCTAAGGATCACACAGGACTTGAAGTCCACAATCTGCCCAGTGCCCCCTGCACTTCACTCTTAGACTGTGCTGTTTCCCAATGGTGCTGGCAGGTGAGTGTGTGTGTGTGTGTGTGTGTGTGTGTGTGTGTGTGTACATGTCAAGCCAGGCCACACTATAGTCACTGTTGAAATCCCTTCTGGTTATTGGTACTCCATGGTCACTTTAGGTCCTTCCCATGTTCTTCTCCAGTCCCATGTCCAGTGGGTCGAGGCGTGCCCATCAAGCAACTACTCCTGGGTTAACAGGAAGACAAATCTATCACCATGGTCATCTTCAGTCAGCATGCAACAACTTGCCACAAACCTCATGGTCTACACCCTGCTGATGTGAGCACAGTTCAGAAGCCAGCCACAGTGTGACTGAGTCTCTACTCAGTCTTCGATGGTGAAATCAAGGTGCTGCACAGGCTGGGCTCACACTGGGGGTTCTAGGGCACAGTCTGCTTCGAAGCTCATTGGGCTTCCTTGCAGCCATGAGATGGAGGTGCCTGTGTCCTTGCTGGCTGGCTGTCGGCCCCACCCCAGAGGCTCCATGTGCCTTTCCAGGCGGCCTCCTCTTTCTTCAAGCCAACAATGACACATTGATTCTTGTACTTGGAATCTCTGACTTCCTTTTCTACAACTGTTCAGCCAGAGAAAACTCTGCTTCCTCTTCTCCCCAGCTCTTTCTATTTTCCTTCTGAGACAGGGACTTACTAAGTTGTCCAGGCTGGATTTGAACTTGCCATCTTCCTACCTCAGCCTCCCACAGTGCTGGGGTTACAGGTGTGCACCATCATCCCTAGTTTCTTGTTTGTTGGTCTATTTTATCTATCTATCTGTTTATCTAGATACCTACCTATTGTGAGGTACTGCGGACTGAACCCAGGGCATTCTTCACACTGAGCTACATCCCTAGCCAGCTCCTACCCTTTTTTTTAGTCTGGGTCTAAATCAGTAAATTCCCCAGGCTGGGTTGGAACTTGTGATCCTCCTGCCTTTCCTTCCTGAATGCTGGGATTACAGGTGTGCATCCCCAGGAGCTCAGGTGAGCAGTTCAGCCTAGGGGCACAATCTCCTGGGTAGGGCAGCTGTGCCATCAAACACAACCCATCACAGGACTTCACCCATCTTTTTCACAGGACCAGGGCTCTACCCAGTGTGTACCCTAGGGCTGGGGAATCTTGGGGAAATCCTGCAGTGCTGCTCACCACAGTGACCAAAGGACAAGAGAAGTGTTTTCGGGGGGTGGATCACAGAAGGGGCAGGGGACCCAACTGAATGAGCAGGAGATAGAGGCCTGGTCCTAACCCTGAGCCCCTGGGGATTCCCAGCATCCTGCTGGAAGCAAGTACCAGGTGTGGGCAGACTGGGCCTTGGTGGAGGGTGTAGCTTCCGGTGCACTTTCAGATGATCTCGCACCATTGTGTGTACTCCAGGGCTCGATGAAGATGCTGGACCAAAAGGACAACACGAGACAACAGCTGTCGGTAGAGCCATGTGGGCTGCTCAGGGGCTGACCCAGGTGACCTGCAAAGACATGTGGATGGGGGATGGGGACATCAGGTCAGAGGAGGGGCCTGGGGGGTGGCCGTGGGCAGGAGGTCTGGCCCCTACTGGTGTGTGCATGTGAGAGGCAGGGTCTGAAAATGGCCTGGGCCCTGGGCCCTGATGCTGAGTGTGACACAGAATTCCTCTCCTGCAGCCAGCCTGGGCAGTCCACACTGAGTCTCTGGGCAGCTGCCGGCCATACTGAGGGAGATACAGCTGCAGCAGGACAGGGAGGGCAGACTGGATCTTGTGACCCTCAAGACACTTTGGAGCCGCCTCCACTGAAGTACCTGGAGGGGACTTGAAGAGGGTGGTGATCACGCGCACACACAAGATGGGCTCAGAAGACTCAGGCGGCAGCAGCTGCGCCTCGTTTGTTCTGTTAGGCAACTGAGGCTGCGGGACATCAGGGTCACAACTACCATTTCATCCATGAAGGACAAGGAGGACCCTGCCAAGTCCCCCTGATGTTATCACAACAGAGTTTTTTTGTTTTTTTGAGACAAGGTCTCCCTATATAGTTCAGGCTGGCCTCGAACTCATGGTGATCCTCCTGCTTCAGCCTCCAAAGTGCTGGGATTGCAGGTGTGCACCATTATGCCTGGCTCAACACCAGCAATTTAAAGGAGGAAAGATTTATCCAGTTTATACAGATTCAGCCCATAGTCCACTGGCTCCAGGGCAGGATGGAAAGGCAGAGGGACATGGCGGAGGAGAAGCTACTCATGTCATGGCATCCAGAGAGCAGGGAGAGAATCAAGGAGCTAGGGAAGGAGATAAACCCTTCCAGGCCACACCACCAGTGACCCACCTCTTCTGACCAGACCCCAACCTCCTAAAGCAAGTCAGCTGTAAGCCCCTTGATCCAATCACCTTCCAAAGGTCCCGCTGTGATTGGATGAGGCTGTAGGGGGACATCTAGACATAGACTCTAACACTAGCCTAGTACTCAAACTGTTGTCCTTTTACCAGAATGTTCAGAGGTCTGTCTGCAGCTCTAAGTGGACATCACATGTCACCCTGGGAAACGAGCACACCTGTCACCTGGGAGCACAGGGGCCACAGAGGGCTCAAGTGCTTCCTGGGGCCACTCCAGCCTGTGCCTGGGAAAGTGGCTTCGATACTGCCTTTGTTTTTTCACCTGCCCAACCTCACAGCTTCGTGCGGTCAGATTATGCAGGCCCAGCTTCTCTCTCTCAGCCTGGGCTGCTTCAAGCAGGTCACTGAACACAGGAACCTGGTGGCAACCCACCTGCCTCAGCCTCCCAAGTACTAGGATTACAGGTGCACCACCACACTCCCTGGCACTTTTTAAGTTGTTTTAAGACCAGGTTGCACTAAATTGCTTAGTCGGAGCTGAGGCATACAAATTACAGGTGTGCACCACTATGCCCAGCTACCTCCCCAGTTCTTTACCTTGTTTTGGCAAAACTAGTGTGCTGGCCAAATTTCCATGACTGCAAGAACAAAAACCCGGGGTTATACACAAACTTCCTCTGTGGAAAGAATGAGCAGCCACTTCTCATCTCAGGGAAAAACCTATGTGTTCTTTGGCTTTTTCCAGCCCAATTCTTCTGTCATATTGGGAGAAAAACTCCTTTAAAAAAAAAAAAAGTTGTCTTTAGGGACATTGTAGACACAGCCCCAGACCAGGCTGCCAGGGGACTGCACAGATTGCTTGGAGGGAGGGTAGGAGGCAGGAGAGCCCTTTCTCTTGGCTAGGGGCTGGCTCTGAGGAGACCCAACAAGCTCCATGTTGCAGGTGTGCCTGTTAATCAAAGAGGAAACTGCTGGGAGGGGAGATAGGCATGGTTTCTGAGATAAAACCATGATCAGTCTGCCCAGGAGCCAGGCAGACAGTGACATAGAAGTGGAACCAAAACTGAAATGGTTCATTCACATTTCACAAAACTTTTCCACCAATCAGCAAGTGGGAAAAAACACAAAGGAAAGAAAGGACGTTTTTCACAATTTGGGACATTACAAGATAAGGAAGTGGCCCAACTCTGGGTTACTGGGGGAACTAATTTTAAGCCCTAGAGCCTCACTCACCAGGGAGGGAGGGAGACCCTCTTCCAGTCCTTTGAGCTCCTTGGAGAAGAAAGTCAAGAGTGGACACAGAGAACAACAGGGTCCTAGTTTCATTTATAAATAACTCAGGAACATTTTGTTTTCAGTTTTCTGGAGCTGGGTTTTCCCAGCACACAGGGCTCTGGGGAGATCTAACAACCATGGTGGGTCAATGTGCAAGTTGCCAGGGACAGAATTTGGCACAGTCATTCACACAACTGAACAACCACCTCATTTAGGGTCCTATGCCTCAGGCTCTTCCCCAGACCAGCCCAGAAATGACATCTCCGGGGAGGACCTTTCATCTCTGCTATGGAGGAGATGGCTTTAAGGCTAACCCAGGAAGTCTGGCCTGGGCCCACCGGAGGCTCCGAATCACCAACTGGCGCATAGCCTCTGATGACAGCCCCTGCCCAAGAGCATCAATACCTCCTTTTGAGAACAACCCCTCCTCCCCAAAAAGTCTGTGTTCAACTGTGATTGATGAAAAAAAAGCTAATGAAACACCAAATACTGTAAAAGCAGTAAGTCAGGGAGCTAGGATACCAGTCAGGGTTGGAATAAATCATCTAGTCTAATGATTAGGGAGCAAGAGAGGAAGGCAACAGATGTTCTCTCGAAGGTAGAGATCCATCCTACAAGAGGTGGGCGACCAAACCTCCCACTTGGTCCTCTCTGGAGCCCATCTGGCTCAGATGCCCCAGTGTGCAATGCTGCTCATTCTCAAATTTGACTTCCTGCCTCTGTCCTCTAGGCCTGCCACCCCTTGTTTTCCCCTGATATGAAGGCCTAGCTCAGCCTTCCAGGCTTCCACATTTCTCAGAATCCAGAAACATGAGGTTTTTGAGCCCCCAGGTTCATTTAGCATTATTATTATTATTGAGACAGGGACTTGCTATGTAGTTCAGGCTGCCCTTGAACTGACAGCAATCCTCTTGCCTCATTGTTATTATTTTGGGTTTTTTTGAGACAGGATTTCGCTATGTTACGCAGGCTGGCCTTGAACTCGTGGTAATCCTCCTGCCTCAGGAGTGCTGGAATTACAGGCACATGCCACAACACTGCACTTATTATTATTATAGCTCATTATGTAGCGCAGGCTGGCCTCAAACTCTTGGTGATCCTCTGCCTCAGGCTCCCCAGTGCTAGGATTACAGGTATGCCTCACCACACCTAGGTATTTTATTTTAATTATTTTTTTTTTGGTACCAGGGATTGAACTCGGGTCTTTGTGCTTGCGAGGAAGGTGGCGGAACCACTGAGCTAAATCCCCAGCCCATCTAGCCATTTTATTATTATTTGCAATGCTGTGAACCAAACCCAAAGCCTTGTACATGCTAGGCAAACACTCTATTTCTGAGCTATACTCTCAGCCCCATACATTAATGTTATGTTGTTTTTGGTTTTTGATTCAGAGTTTTTTGGAGATTTAACTCAGGGCTTTGTTGGTGCTAGATAAATGCTCTACCACTAAGCTACTCCCCAGGCTTTATTCCCTCCCAGTACTGAGGCTCAAAACAGGGTGCTCCACCACTGAGTTACATTCCCAGACTCTTTTGAGACAGAGTCTCACTAAGGTGCTTAGGCTGGCCTCAAACTTTCAATCTTCCTGCCTCAGCCTCCTGAATGGCTACAAATTACAGATATGAGCTGTCATCCCTGGCTATTTATTGTGTGGGGGGGTGACAGCTCATCATGTTGTCCAGCTGGTCTCCAATTTGTGGGGTGATCCTCCTGTCTCTGCCTCCTGAGTAGCTGGGACTGACAAGTGTGTGCCACTCCCACCAGCTCCCCATGTTCACTTTAGACCTCTCCAGTAGCCCTCAGGCCCTCCTTCCACATTTAGGTGGCCTAATACTGGTTACATAACAATCACAGCCCCCAAAGCTCTGACATCACTCACTAAAGATTTTCACTGGCCTGGACAGCCAAGTGGGTCTAGGTGGGTCAGGGATGGAAGGGGCTTGAGCCCAGTGGAACAGCCAGGAGTGCTAAGGGGGGAGCGGAGGGCACACAAGTTGAAGCAAAAGATAGTAACTGGTGGTGTCCGACAGGAAAGCGGAAGCATTTGGGCTTTTTAATTCCTCCCAAGTCCCCACAAGATTTCATTGTTGCCTCACATTTCCCCTCTGCCCCACATAGGGAACTTCCGATTTCACTTCTCCTCAAAACTCAAGTGGCCAGAGCTTCGACTTCTTCTCTACCTCCACCCGTCCTGGCAGTTACAGCCTTTCAGGGGAGAACTTGTCTTCTCCCCACAGGTCATGTACTTATGTCCTCCCTGCTGCGTCCATCTGTCAGTCCTAGCCCTGCCGGCCGGTGAGGCCAGCCTCTCACACTCCTCTAGCATCGCACTCCTCCATGTTTTTCTTTCCTCGCTCACTCCCTTCCCTAGATTCTCTACTCTCTCAGCTTCTTCTACTACCCCCTTACTGAATCTCCCTCTCTGGAACAGATAAAAGATGTGGGAATGAGAGAGAGTGTGTGTCCGGGAAACCGGCGAGAGGAGGCAGCGCCGGGGTTCCCGGGGTCCTCCGAGGCTTCTGGGGATACTGAACTGGTGCATAGGAGACACTGAGGCTGGGGCGCGGATGGGGAGCAGGGCCTGAGGTCCACAGATGAAAGGCGCGCGAGCCCAGGACCTCCTCCTGCCTGATCCCCACCGGGCCTCCCAACACAAGCACTTCTGAGCGCCAGCCTGACAAGGCGGGGCAAAACAAGTGTGGTTGCCACGGCACCGCAGTCAAGGACTCGCGAGATTTGAAGTCAGCCAATGGAAGTCGGGGAAAGGGAGAACGTGGCACGCACTGGGGGCGGTGCCGTTAAGGGTCCCTCCCTCTTCCTCCACTTCCTCGCAGGCCAGGCTGCGTCGGCGCGCAACACAACTGACTTATAAAGGGCGCTCGGCAAGGCACGCACTCCACTCGGCAGAGGGCGCCTCCGCGAGCGATACCGTACGCCTGCGCAGTGCGGGCAGCTCCCCGCCCCCGCCCCAGCCGCTGCAGCCGCTCGCTGCCCGCCGCCTTCAGCCGGCCGGCCGGCCCCTCCTCAGCCCGGTGCTCGGCCGCCTCTCTGCCTCGCAGCAGCCAGTCCCGTCTACAGCATCATGTTCAGCTGGGTGAGCAAGGATGCCCGCCGCAAGAAGGAGCCGGAGCTCTTCCAGACGGTGGCCGAGGGGCTTCGGCAACTGTACGCGCAGAAACTGCTGCCCCTCGAGGAGCACTACCGCTTCCATGAGTTCCACTCGCCCGCGCTGGAGGATGCTGACTTCGACAACAAGCCCATGGTGCTTCTCGTGGGCCAGTACAGCACGGGCAAGACCACCTTCATCCGGCACCTGATCGAGCAGGACTTTCCCGGGATGCGCATCGGACCAGAGCCCACCACCGACTCATTCATCGCGGTCATGCACGGCACCACCGAGGGCGTGGTACCGGGCAACGCGCTCGTCGTCGATCCGCGGCGACCTTTCCGCAAGCTCAATGCCTTCGGCAACGCCTTCCTCAACAGGTACCCACACTTTTCCTCGGCGGCGCGAGGGCCTGTCAGGCCAGGACCCTGCCCTTGGGGCGCGACCCTCTTGCTGCCTTCGCCTCTGACGTCCTTTGTCTCTGAGTCTTCAGCGAGACTGTGGGGTGACCACTCCCAGGACAGGGTCCCTGCCGCGCCACACGGAAAACCCTTTCCGACCCACCTGGGGGTCTGGGAGTGGCCATCGCGGGCTCCTCAGGCGCCTGATGCCCCCACGGTCTTCCCGGTTATCAGTTTAACTCCCAAACCCTCCCGCAGAACCCAGCCCCACTTTGCATAGGGACCGCATTCGGGAAGCTGAGCCATAGAAGCTGCCCTCTTGTTCTTGGTCTCCACCTCCTTCCCTAAACTGGTTGCCCCTAATTCATTCAAATCAAACCCTCCGGGGTATCTGATTCTTAAGTGACCTGGCAAAACCCTATCCTTTTGGTGTGGTGTGTTTCTGCGCAGCCTCTTGGGACCAGTGGTTTTATGTAGGAGAGACAAGGAGAGTCTGTAGTGGCCTGCTGACTTTGGGGCAGCCCCTTACTGGGAGGTAATAGACCTGGTCTGAGCACTTCTCCCCTATGGCAGCTCTTAATGGGTCAGTGCTGCTCCAGGGGCTTCAGGAGACTGGCCTGGGAGCCCCGAAATGAATTTTGGGCCCCAAGTCCCTCTGTAGACTCAGTAGGAACTTCCTTAACTTACTCTCCAGTTCCCTCAGTTAAATGGGTGAGACTTGCCTCCTAATTGGAGCCATCCTCCCACACACCCTCCGGATGCTATGAATGAAACCAGTGGCCTCTCCCTGATACAGCTTGCTCTCTAAAGAAACTCTAGGCATCTGCCCCCTCACCCCAAGAGACATACCGCAGGCCTTTCCAGACCCTGCCCTCCTGCTCCCTCTTTCAGGCAGGGAGTCCACATGCCTTTGGAGTCTGAAGTCTGAGTCAGGGGAAGAGCCTAGGAAAGAATCTGAACCCTGCCTTCCAAGTCTCCACCCCTGGTGATCACATTCCTTTCCAGACACTGTCCAGTACCAAGGGCGGGCTGCTGGCCCCAGAGCCCAGCCAGTTGGGGCCAGGCCTGCCTGCGCCCCAGACATTTGGTGTCTGCCAGTTCCAGCCATCTAGCCTGTCCTGTTTTAATATGCTGATGGTGTTTGCTGTTGGGGTCCTTTGGGCTGAGGCTCCTGAAGGTTGGACCTCTTAGTTCAGAGCCATTCAGTATCTAAGGATACTGTACAGTACTTGTGTTTTAGCTTAGTATCTGCCTGAAGATAGGCTCAGCCGGTGGTGGGGCAGCCCTTCATTCTTGGGAGAAGCTGGGCTGCTTGGCTGGAAGGTCAACTCATTAGGTCTCTACTCCCAGGCAGAATTTTGGGAGTGACTGGAAGGGTGGCTGTCCTAACCTCTGTTGTGCATATGTCTTCACTTGGTTGTGAGGGGAGATCTTTTTTGAAAGGAGAAACAGCACGTGACCCATTTTCTGCCTTTGGAAGCCTAGAGTTTCAGAGCTGACGGGATCTTAGATACCATCTCAGCAGCCTCACCTGATCAGTTTCCTGAGGCTCAGAGGGCCCCCACTGACATATCAAGGTCACACATTAAGTTAAGCCAGCCCCCACTGCTGCTTCTCCTTGGAAAGAGGAGAGCTCTGGAACCCTGGGTCAGAGACAGGCACCTTGGTGGTGTGTGGACCACCGGTTCCAAGAATCCTGCTTTCATGTTCTTCTTGTCATCACTTCATTTCTAGAGGATCCCTGAACACTGACAGCCCTGCCGAGAAGGCCTTACTAGCCAGAGCTGAGGCCCAAGCTGTGTCAAGATGTGTGGAGCACAGGGTGCTGCCTGCTTGCTGGGGAGGGCACAACAAAAAGGGCTTTTCTGTGGCTGATGCAGCCTCTCTCAGCTCTCTTAGAGACCCACTGAGTCATGAACTTGCCTTTCCAACCTTTTCCCCTTGAATGGCTGCTGTAAAAATGCAGTCAGATAGAACAGCTCCAGGTAGGGCATGGTCAGTGAGTCCTGAGACTGGCTTGTTGAAGAACTGGCCCTCCCATTTATAGAGTGAGACGGAGATGAAATGAGGTGTGAGGCATCTGTACTGCCTGTCGCACTCCCTGGGCTCGGCAGAGCATCCTGGCCCCATGTCCTGCAAACATTCCCTTGCTTACCGGGCCCTCTTTACAGAACATTTTTATGCATGTTATTTCTCAGAACCAGTTTTGCTTTCATTCCTTTGCTTCTGTCATCCTCTCTGGTAAGTCCCTTCCTGTGCAGGAGCTCCAGCTTGAGCATTCAATGACATTGGGCAGGCGTGCTCTGGGCTGGGCTGGTGAGGATGAGGTCCAAGGTTTGCTCACTCTGTGGGTCAGCTCATTCTGTTCTGTTCCACATGCAGAGAGCACCTCCTCACCCTGCCCAGCTGCCCCAGCCTGTGAGCTACTGGTCACTTGGGGGCTGAGGCCACAGGAGAGGCTAGTCAGCCCCAAGACCTCACCACCATTGGAAGGGCAGCTTTGAGCCTGCATCCTACAGACAATGGGTCCATATGTCCTTTGCTCACAATACCTTTTTCAGAGAAATTTCTAAAGGATCCTTTTCTGTGTTCAGTAAAGAATCGCTGCTCTCAGTTGAGACAGCCCCTTGCTGTTCTCGAGCTGGCTCCTCTGAGCTCTGTGGAACAGAGGCCTGACCGCTTAGCCAAGCACCCTGCACTGCCAGGTTCAGGACTGTCTACAGCTTTGTTCTTGGACCGGCTTTGACTTTCAGAGAATAATATGTTTGTGCTTCCCTCTCCACCATCAGCCAGCTGGTATGGTGCCCCCAGGTTTTACCAGGTTTTACACAGCCCCTTCACCCAAGCAGCTGGGTCAAAGGGGAGGGTTGATCCCAGCAGCAATAGGGCGAGACCTTCTCTCTTCAATGTGTGGGGATTCAGCCAAGTGGCTGGACATTCTCTCATGGAGTTACAGGGTCCCCATGTCAGGCTTCTGTTTCTTTCTTTTTCTTTTTCTTTTTTTTTTTTTTTTTTCTGTTTCCTTTGTGAACTCACTGGTGGCCTAGGCTTATCCAGCTTTCACTAACAAGTCAGCAACTTGGAAGCTGAACTCTGGAACTCTGGAGGGAAAATAAGTGTGAGGGAAGTGCTGCTGTGGGTCCTCTGGAGACCTCTGACTACATTTCCAGTTGAAAGGGATCTGATATTTAGGGCCTACAGGTATGGCTCTGTGGTAGAGCATGTGCTTAGCATGTACAAGGCCTTGGCTCTTATCCCCCCGCAAAAAAAAGATTTCTCCACTTTGCTGGCCACCCTGGAAATCAAGATGATAGGAAATGGGCTGGGGATTTAGTTCTGTGGTACTGCCATACTGCCACCTGCCTCGAAAGCGCAAGGTCCCGAGTTCGATCCCCAGTACCAAAAAAAAAAAAAGATGATAGGAAACAAGAAGCCAGGGTGGGGGAGGAAGAGCCCTCCTGTGGCATCGGGACAGTGAGGATTCCATCCTGACAGCTCTCTTTGGCTGTGTTCTCATGCAGGTTCATGTGTGCGCAGCTCCCCAACCCAGTCCTGGACAGCATCAGCATCATTGACACACCTGGGATCCTGTCAGGAGAGAAGCAGCGCATCAGCAGAGGTAAACAGGCCCAGCTGGCCCTGTGATGGCCCTATCTGATATCTTGGATGCTGCCCTTAAGGCTTTTTAAAAAAAGAAAAGTGTCCATGTGAGAGGGCAGGAACTTTCTTCCTCACCTCCCTCTGCTCAGGTGACAATAGCCCTTTTCCCTTGGCAGGTTGCTTTTAAACCCCTGGGGCAGGTGAAAATAGGGCAAGTGGGGCTCCAGGCCATGCAGTGAGGTGGGAAGGAACTGGCCAGTAGCTGTGCCCAGGTGTCCCAGCCATCACTACTGACACCCAAGGAGCACCTGCCTCAGTTTGCCTTTGAGAACTTTGCTTCCCAGCAGGACTGAGCCCACCAGGCAAAAGGAGAAACTAGCAGAACCACTTTGGGGCAGTGGAAATTGTTTAAATTTGCTTAGCTCTTGCTAGTCAGCAGCCTCACTGGGGCTGTGTACTAAAGGCCCGCTGTGCATTAGTGATCTGGGCCGTGTTCCAGCTGTGTCAAGTCTTCTCTCAGTTTTGCAATGCTTTTTGAAAATCTGATTCCAAGTGAGCCTGGCCTGGGTCATGTCTCTGCCTCTACCCACTCTGGAGTAGGCTGAGCACTCACTGCAGGGCCATCTGGCACAAGTCGAGCCTATAGCTGCAAAGGGAAAATAAAAGACTTGAGGAGAGGTGGAGGACTAGGGGCCAGGTTCACTTATCATTAACTTGTATATCTCTCCTATGTACCTTGCCCTCTGGACCGCCCTGTTAATAGGGAGCCTTGCAGTTGAAACCAGCAGTCTGGGATTTGGAGTCTGTGCTGTAGCTATGAGGGGGTTGGGCCTCTTGTCTCTCTTTGAGTACTGGAGATTGAACTCAGGCCCTCTGGACATCCCCATGCCTTTGTTTAACTTTTTATTTTGAGACAGGATCTCACAGAGTTGCCCAGGCTGGGCTTGAACTTGTGATTCTCCTGCCTCAGCCTCCCAGAGTGTTAATATTGTAGGTGTGCTACCACACCCAATTCCTACTCTCTCTCTAGGCTGTGGACCCTGGCCAGTGTGCCATGTGTTTTGTTGGAGCGTGCTGAAAGTCTGTCTCCACTCAGGACTGAAAGCTGCTACTTAACGCTTTTAGGTTCCCCCACCCTGGTGATAGTTACAGTCCTGGGAGTTCAAGGAAACAGATTTGAGGACCCCTTCTAAAAAAGCCAGAGCCAGCTTTCTTCCTTCTTACTGTGATTGTTGTTCCTGCCTGGTGTTAAGAAAATGCCTGATAAAAGATAAATAAAATTTTAAAAAAAGAAAATACCTGATAAGCCAAAGCTCTGCCGATTGCCAAAGCAAGGCCAAACAATGTAAATAAGTTACTCTTAAACTGAAGTTAACATTAAGGGGCCATTCTGAGCCTGCTGTGGGCTAAATAATCCTGGCTTTTGTATGAGGCCTATGGAGGGGGGCCTCATATAGGCACTGAGGCCCCGGCAGGCCTGAGTGGCTGGTGTGTTCACAGCCTTGGATAAGGAACAGTCAATCACCAGAAGAGCTTATCTTGCCAGAGTGCCCCTGCCTGTGTGGCATTTGAGGCCTGAGTAAAGGTATTTGAGGGAAAAGGTTTGAGGTTCTTACAGCCGTTGTTGACTCATGAAAAGGAACCTCAGGAGCAGCTGTTTCCCTTATGCCCAGGGTTCCTCTGCTCCACTGTCTGCTGACCCAGCCCTGTGTCCTCGGAGCTTAGCAGGCTCAGCAGCTTGGACTGGGATTGCTGGCCCTACCTGCTGGGATGCATCCCCCCCTTCATTTCCTGTTGGAAAAGAGACATGTGGTAGGGTATAAACTTGATCTCTCTGGAATAAGGTAACAAAGTGATGCTTCTTCTGTCACCTTGGCAGTGAGTTTTTATGGGGACAGGAAGACACCAGGATGCCTGGCAGTGGCAGCTTTTAGGTATCCTGTGAGAAGACATGTGAGGAGCAGGTCAGCAGGAGATACTGAGGCCCGCCTGATGGGGCCCTGTGCTTGGCCCTGCTCTGCCTGTGGGGAAGATGGGGCCCTGCATCCAGGTTCCCCATCTCCACAGAAGGCCTCCCTTGCTGCTTCCTGGGAGAAAGGAACAGGGTGCTGAAAGGTCAGTGTGTCGCTCGGCTTGGAGGAAGGCTTTAGCTGGGAAATAGTGAGCTCAAACCTATTTTTCTAGACCATTCCTTTTCTCCGTATCTCTAAAGATCCTGTTTTTATTTTAATTAATTCATTTTTCTTTCCGGCTTTTTGAAGCAGTCTTGCTGTGTGGTTCAGGATGGTCTCAGGCTCAAAATGATCCTCCTGCCTCAGTCTCCCAAGTACTGGTATTACAGGCATGGGCCACCACTCCCAGTGAAAGATCCTGATTTAAATGTATCTTACTAAGTATTACCCTGTTGGGGTTTGGGGTTGGGAGTGTTTATTTTTGTGGTTCTAGGGATTGAATCCAGGGCTATGCTAGGCAAGTGCTTTACCATTGAGTTACATATCCCAACCCTGCATTGCCCAGCCTGGCCTTGAACTCATGATCCTCCTGCCTCAGCCTCCCAGGTTCCTGGGACTACAGGCATGCCCCACCATGCCCAGTTTGGAGTGAGGCGTTTGATCATCAGGAGAAAGGCCATCCTTTGGCACCTCTTGGAGGTGCAGGCTATGGACTCCAGGGTGGTCACTGCCAGGTAGACATAGGAGGAATGGACTTCTTCTTAGAGACCTTGCCTACTGGTCACACAAAGCCCTGTGTGGCCCTGCACAGCAGAGGAAGTCAGAACAGGGCAGTGTGTTCCAGGCTCCCTGGGCTGGTGGCGTGGAAAGCAGGTGTTTCCTTCAAAGAAAGATAGGCCCGACAGGGAACACGGATCTTGGGATGTGGGCGAGTTGCAAAAACAGAACATCCCTGTGGAGACCACTTGTATGTTAGTGTTGCTAATGACATTTACTTCCATCCCTAGCCCTGTCTGTTTGGCCCCTCCTGGCTTTTTTCCCTTTGCTTCTATGGTCCCTAATGTGTACAGGAAATACTGCCTGGAAAGATAAGGTGAGGCGGGTGCAGCCCCAGAGAAATCCAGATGCAACCTGTTGGGGACCTCTAAGAATTTAGGAGACAAGGGTTTCCTTTTGGGGTGTCAGAATGCCAATCTTCTGAGTGACTTGAAAGATATCATTCTCCTGTGGCAGTAGACAGAAGTGGCCTGTAGGGACAGTGTTCATTTCTGAGTGCTGCCCTGCCTGTGTGACTGATAAGTGGCATTCTACAGGGAAGCTGGAGTCCCAAAGGGCTAGTGCCCCTGGCTGACAGGGCCATGATCTGCAGTCACGATGGTGCCCAGGAGTGGGCTCTTCCCACATCCCTCCTCCTTGGGCAGTGGCAGGAGGCATGTTTAGGGGCCTGCTTGGCCACTGTATTCCCCACTGCTGTCACTGACTGTTAGCTGAGCTATAACTCTTATGCCTCAGTTTGCTGCACAGAAATTCTGTCAGCAGAGGGAGGGCAGCCCCAGGCTGGATTAGGAGGTGGAGACCTGGCTGGTGGGGACTTCCTGCTGGACTGCCCCGTCAGCTCAGGCTGCTTGGTGTCACAGCAGCTGCAGCTGTGAGGAAGCCACTGGCCTTCAGAGGAGGAAACAGTCTGAGGAACAGTCAGTGATGAGCCCCAGATGACACACAGTCCAGCCATGGGTGGTGCTGGGATTCAAACCCTTGTTGTGTCTGTGGCCCTGGTGTAGGAGTCCTGGGTGCCGGGGTCAGGCAGACTTTTGCCCCTGCTGGTTATGACTGTGCAGGGCTCTGAGTCCCCCTGAAATTTAGAGGCCACCCTCTGTTCCTCCCAGCCAGAGTCCAACTCCATGTCCAGGAATGGACCTGAGGTCTGGTGCTTTGAACAGCAGTGCCCCTGTTCCCTGCCTCCTGCTATGTGTGGAGAGGCATGCAGAGCCCTGGCCCTGGGCCAGCTGGTCCCCTGCAATCTCACTTGCCTTCTAGCCAACTGCCCCTGGCCCCCCGGCTCTGTCTAAGCTGTTCTGAACTACAGTGGATCAGGCTTCCCCAGCCCCAAAGCCCGTCCCTGCAGCCTGGAGCCTGGTGACTGAAGATAGGGTTATGCCAAGGGTTCCTTCACTCCCCTGAAGTGGTCCTCTGGTCCTGCTGGCTGCTCCTGGGAACCTGCCCCATCACCCTCCAGTCCAGGGTTCCCAGGTACTCTGCAGACCAGGGATGCTGCAGGGGACAAGGTCAGGTGCTGTGTCCAACAGAGAATACAGAAGGTTCAAGTCTCAGGTCAGTCTTGGAGTAGCTAGGTGGCCCTAGGGAGTTGCTGTAACTGTGGGGCCACATCACCATGACAAGAATAATACTGGCCTCTTTGGGTTATCATAGCAACTTGCCCTCACCAGATTTTTTTTTTTGGTACCGGGGATCGAACTAGGGACCTTGTGCTTGTGAGGCAGGCAGCGGAACCAATGAGCTAATCCCCTGCCCCTCTCACCAGATTTTTGCTCAAGTGGCTGATACATTTAAGTGCTCAACAAATGTCAGCTGATTAGCAATAGAAACCAAAAACTCCAGGGTTTCCCAGGCTTTGTTGTTTTTCTCAGTAACATCCCAGAAGGATTCTTAGGGTAGCACTGACTCAGCCCCAGTTCCCCTCCAGACTCCAGAGCTGCCTCTGGCCACCCAGCCTTCCCCTCCTGCTGCCACCCTCCCCCTGCCCTGGGCTGCCTTGGCCGGCACTCCCCGAGGAGGCGGTATACCAGGCTGTGCCAGCCTCCAAACCTGTTCCCCAGGCTGCTCGAAGTGGCATGCTGGGCGGCAGCTGGCCCAGGCGCCTGCACAGTTCCATTTATATTTGGGGTACGAGGCATTCTTGATGCCTTAAAAGCCTTCCTTGCCTACACACCCATCAGGACCCAAAATACAAGTCCCACGAGTACACGAAAACAAACATCTACAAAGTGCTTATGGGTGCCAGGTAATCCCTCGATCCTCTCTGCAGCCTCTGAGGTAGAAACTCTTC